GTCATCTATATATCTTCTACCCTAGCTATCTCAGAACCTCTATTGCATTGATTTAATAGTCGTAAAACATCACACGATACATGTGTAATGATGGTGAAACTTCAAGTTGAGTTTCTTGAAAGACACAGCAGCAAGACAACAAAAAACCAAGCTTTTTTAGCTTATCTGTGGTTATCATCATCAATTATCATCAACACCTTAAAATCCTAAAATAACGTTGGGTACAATGAATTATGCTGATATCAGCATTCACAATAGGAAATTATGTAACAGATGGTAGCTAGTTAGAATAATTTCCATGGCACAAATTTTTTTAAAATATCCTCATCAACAACTAAAATCCATTTTGACTTTTTTTTTTCTTTGGTAACGGATGTAATATATGTATCCGATCCGTTATATGAACCCAAAAATATTGAAGAGGCTGAGGGTTAGCATAATTTAATTTTGAAAACAAAATCGTAAGAAAGTGCCACTAATTATTCGTTAAACTTACATATGAATTAAGAAAATCATTCGATTTGTTTAGCCAAGTAGTAAATTAAACGAGCAAAGATTGTTGCGAGTTGACTTTTCATAACGTTTAATATTTGCAAATAAATGCGGATACAATAACTATTCTTGTTTAATACAAATAACAATTCGCATTAACTTTTTTAATTAATACTGGAGGTTTCTAACCTCAATCTAATAACAACAACAAAAAAACGCTGATGAGAACGGTAACTCTTATATATGAAAAGAACCATATAAATATGAGATTATCTATCATTTTAACTTCACAGCCAAAATTCAAAACAATTAGTAGCAAACATAAATTTAAAGTACGGTAATTTCAAAATGAAAATGAAGATATTTCTCATTTTTCTAACTATCGTTTCATCATGTAAGTTCATTCTAGGTTTGCATACATTAAATATGTAAAATATTTTATACAATTCTAATAATATATTGATTACACTATTCATTTTTATTTTGTTTATAGGTGTATCAAATATTATGGCAAATTCTGATTCAAAAGAGAAATTTATTTCTTCCAAGGAGAATCCTCAAATTGAATATGCGGTTAAGTACTACAAATATCCTATCGAAGTTAGTCGAAGATTTTGTTTTGAGTGTGCTGATCACTGTTCTAGAATGAACAAAGTTCTCCAACATTGTGATTATAATGTTTGTCTTTGTTCACCTAAAATTGAATCTGAGGTAAAGAATGGACCGGTTTCATACCACACACCAATCCCTATCGAAGATAGTATGTTTTGTTATAATTGTGAGCGTAGTTGTTCAAGAAAGAACAAAGATATCAGTATGTGTAAAAATTTAATTTGTCGTTGTTCATCTTAGAATCGTGACTAACGTCCCTTGCAATTTTTCTTTAATAATAAAAATTTGATATTACATTATATTAAATTGATGCTCGTGTTTTCATATTTTATTTTAGTATGATCACGTGTGTGTGTCATGTCGTATGTCCATCCGAACGTATACATTCTTCTCCTGAATGAAAATTTGGGAATATACAATACAACATTCGGTGCCTCGTTTAGGTTTAATATATCTGAATTCCTTTATTCTTTTGTACATATAGTTTAAAATTAAATCAATAAATAGACATCAAACATAAGTTTCAGTACTGAAGGAAGGAACCGGTTTCAGACGACAATCATTTGCGAACCCCTGAACATGGAACTAATCTATTTGGATTTTGTTATGAATGTATATTGTAATAAGTTTATTTGTCTTTATTCACGCTAAATCCACATTTTAATACACTTTCATTAGTAGTAACTATTTATGTGAAACTTCAAAAACTTTACTCGCTTATCATTATATATATATTTTCAGTAGAAAATTATTTAGTCTCTAAAAAACTAAAAGAGAGATATCTGTTGATTGTTTCTTGTACTGCGCCTAAATGGTAATTCTTCTATTTGACTTTGGATTGTGAAGGCGTTTGCGTAGCAGAACAAATCACCGTTGAAGGAAAGTACATCGAAACAAGATGAAGAGAATTAGGTTAGCAAATTAGGAAAATATAATGGACAAATGATTTTAAAAATTAAAAAAAAGAGCATATGAATGTTGATGAATAATTAGAGAGGCCAATCTTTCGAGCATGTCCACTCTGACCTAGCCTTTGAACATTTCTTTTTTCTCTTTTATCATTATACTACAGACTACAGTAAAGAAGTCATCTATATATCTTCTACCCTAGCTATCTCAGAACCTCTATTGCATTGATTTAATAGTCGTAAAATATCACACTATACATGTGTAATGATGGTGAAACTTCAAGTTGAGTTTCTTGAAAGACACAGCAGCAAGACAACAAAATAAAAACCAAGCTTTTTTTAACTTATCTGTGGTTATCATCATCAATCATCATCATCATCAACACCTTAAAATCCTAAAATAACGTTGGGTACAATGAATTATGCTGATATCAGCATTCAAAAGAGGAAATTATGTAACAGATGGTAGCTAGTTAGAATAATTTCCATGGCACAAATATTAAAAATATCCTGATCAACTAAAATCCATTTTGAGTTTTTTTTTTCTTTGGTAACGGGTGTAATATATGTATCCGATCCGTTATACGAACCCAATTATACTGAAGAGGCTGAGGGTTAGCATAATTTTGAAAACAAAATCGTAAGAAAGTGGCATTATTTATTCGTTAAACATATGAATTAAGAAAATCATTCGATTTGTTTAGCCAAGTAGTAAATTAAACGAGCAAAGATTGTTGCGAGTTGACTTTTCATAACGTTTAATATTTGCAAATAAATGCGGATACAATAACTATTGTTGTTTAATACAAATAACATTCGCATTTAACTTTTTAAATTAATACTGGAGGTTTCTAACCTCAATCTAATAACAAAAACAAAAAAACGCTGATGAGAACGGTAACTCTTATATATGAAAAGAACCATATTAATATGAGATTATCTATCATTTTAACTTCACAGCCAAACTCAAAACAATTAGTAGCAAACATAAATTGAAAGTACGGTCATTTCAAAATGAAAATGAAGATATTTCTCATTTTTCTAACTATCGTTTCATCATGTAAGTTCATTCTAGGTTTGCATACATTAAATATGTAAAATATTTTATACAATTCTAATAATATATTGATCACACTATTCATTTTTATTTTGTTTATAGGTGTATCAAATATTACCGCAAATTCTGATTCAAAAGAGAAATTTATTTCTTCCAATTTGGCAGAGAATCCTCAAATTGAATATGCGGTTCAGAACTACAAACAACCTATCGAAGTTGATCAAAGAGAATTTTGTTTTGAGTGTGCTGATCACTGTTCTAGAATGAACAAAGTTCTCCAACATTGTGATAAGGTTTGTCTTTGTTCACCAAAAATTGAATCTGAGGTAAAGAGTGGACCGGTTTCATACGACACACCAATCCCTATCGAAGATAATATGTTTTTGTTATAATTGTGAGCGTAGTTATTCAAGAAAGAACAAAAATATCAGTATTTGTAAGAATTTAATTTGTCTTTGTTCATCTTAGAATCGTGACTTACATCCCTTGCAATTTTTCTTTAATAATTTTATATAATAAAAATTTGATATTACATTATATTAAATTGATGCTCGTGTTTTCATATTTTATTTTAGTATGATCACGTGTGTGTGTCATGTCGTATGTCCATCCGAACGTATACATTCTTCTCCTGAATGAAAATTTGGGAATATACAATACAACATTCGGTGCCTCGTTTAGGTTTAATAAATCTGAATTCCTTTAATCTTTTGTGCCTATAATTTAAATTTAAATCAATAAATAGCCATCAAACATAATTAGTTTCAACACTGAAAGAAGGAACCGGTTCCACACGACAATAATTTGCGAACCCCTGAGTATGGTACTAATCTATTTGGATTTTGTTATGAATACTGTAATAAGTTTATTTGTCTTTATTCACGCTAAATCCATATTTCAATACATTTGTCATTAGTAGTAAGTATTTATGTGAAACTCCAAAAAATTTACTCGCTAATTAGTATATATATTTTCATTAAAAACTTATCTGTGGTTATCATCATCAACACCCTAAAGGCCTAAAATAACGATGGGTACAATTAATTATGCTGATATCAGCATTCACAATAGGAAATTATGTAACAGATGGTAGCTAGTTAGAATAGTTTCCATGGCATAAATTTATTTAAAATATCCTCAACAACTAAAATCCATTTTAAGTTTTTTTTTTCTTTGGTAACGGGTGTAATATATATCCGTTATATGAACCCAAAAATATTGAAGAGGCTGAGGGTTAGCATAATTTTGAAAACAAAATCGTAAGAAAGTGGCATTATTTATTCGTTAAACTTACATATGAAATAAGAAAATCATTCGATTTGTTTAGCTAAGTAGTAAATTATACGAGCAAAGATTTTTGAGAGTTGACTTTTTATAACATTTAATATTTGCTACATTAATCCAACACTACAGAACCTATGCTCTTTCCACTCTTGTTTAACCTATAACTATTTATAGAAAGAATTCTTATTTATGCAATATTTAACCTCGGGTTAAAAAAAATATCGCTTTCTTATTCAATGCGTGATGGAACATGGTTAATTTGTTATATTCAAGTTACTAAGTAATGCCCCAAATCTCCCTATAAATATATTTGCTCTTCCATCTGTCGCAAGCCACAAATTTCCTACTACTCCAGTTTACGGTATAATTTTTCTCCTCATAATTAATCTTCCAACAATATGCTTCACAATTTCTGTTTCTTACTAATAAGTGACACCTTCTCTTGGTTGTTATTGCAGAGAGATTTACTAGAGAGCTTGCAGTGACCGGGACGTTCCAAGGTAATGGTTATCTTTTTTTTTTTGCTTTCTATAATGTATCCATGGCTGTTCGATCGAATTCTTTTATATTTAACGTGAGACAAACGTAACGAATCTTTTTTGTTTCATTAAACCTAATATGTGGCTTTTTGCTTGAAGCCAAAACATGATCTCGCAAGTCCCATGGTGGGTTTTACTGATCGGTGTCATGGTGATTAGTGCTGTGGCAGAAGGAGCCTATGAAGATCAGACTAAGGTAATATATGTCACAGTTACGTTATTTCTTCTTTCTTCTATTTTTTTTTGTTAAAAGGCATAGTTACATTATTTCTCGATTTCACAATAAGGGTAAAAAGATTGGCCGAAGAAATAACTAACGTGTATTACATATATAGGTTTACATCGTTTATCTCGGCGCTATAGCGCACAATCATGCGAACCTTGTAACAGCATCACATGTTGCTATGCTAGCATCACTATTTGGAAGGTACCACAAGCCCCAAATCTTTAGACACAAGAAAACAAATGTTGTTGGAAATATGTAATTAGTTACGATATATATATATGAACTAACATGGTTTTGTGGTTATACTACTGTTACAGCGAGAAAGACGCAAGGGAGTCCATGGTTTACAGTTATCGACATGGCTTCTCAGGATTTGCTGCGCATATGACTGATCGGGAAGCGAAAAAACTTTCAGGTACTGGTACATATATAACACATTGAAGAATTTATAAAGCAAATTATATTATAAGAGCCTAGTTGACAACTTTTTTCTTCAAAACTATGTATATATATGTGCAGAGCATCCCGAAGTAGTTCAAGTGATGCCGAATCGCTATTACGAGATGAAAACAACACGAACCTTTAACTACTTGGGGCTTTATGAAAGTACTGGAAAAGAGCTTCTCCTTGATGCCAATATGGGTGAGGACGTCATCATAGGCGTCATTGATTCCGGTGAAACTTAAATCATCTTTGGTATCTATAAAATAGCTTCAAATATGTATAATAGTTCCGGATACTGATTAATATATGCAAATGCGTCCGCAGGTGTGTGGCCCGAATCGGTGTCCTTCAACGACAAAGGGTTAGGACCGATCCCGTCACGTTGGAAAGGAAAGTGCGTGGACGGCGAAGAATTTGTGGCCACAAAACACTGCAACAAGAAACTAATTGGGGCTCGTTACTACATACCGAGCCACATGAAGAAGAACAAAACAGGCATGACATCCGACGAAAACGATTACATGTCTGCAAGAGATAGCGATGTGCACGGTACTCACGTAGCCTCCATAGCGGGAGGTGCCTTCGTCCCAAATGTGAGCAACACAGTTTTCGGAGTGGGGACGGCAAGAGGTGGGGCGCCAAGTGCCCGCATTGCAGTTTACAAAGTCTGCTGGAAAATTTTCGGCAATGACGAATGCGCCTCTATGGACATACTAAAAGCAATGGATGATGCGATAGAGGATGGGGTGGATGTGATGTCGCTCTCACTAGGCACTTCCATCCCTTTACTCACAGAAACTTACAAGGATAATATGCTCTCATATGGAGCCTTCCATGCCATCTCAAATGGTATCCCAGTGCTATTTGCAGGCGGAAATGATGGCCCTAGAGCTTACACAGTGGATAACATAGCGCCGTGGGTAATCACAGTAGCTGCCACCTCTCTCGACCGCTGGTTTCCCACCCCACTCAAATTAGGCAATAATGTTACCATATTGGTAAATATAATTAACTATATACCACCTCTTTTTTAACAAATACACTTTCTTGCATGTGACCTAATATAATGTATATTACTTTCTAGGCACGAGCCCCGTACAAGGGATTGGAAATCCAAGCGGATTTTATGTACGTAGAAAGCCCCAACAAGATCACAGGTGCGGCAAAAGGAAAAGTGGTGCTCGCTTTCTTGAAAAAAAGTGCAGACGTCTATGATTATAATTTGGGAATTAGGAAATTCGGATTAAAGGCTTTAATCATTGCCTCCGAAAGAGATGATAATGTGGAAGTTGTCGATATTCCCATAATACTCAATATAGACTATGAACAAGGCGCCACCATGCTGAATTACATAAGTTCCACCAGGTATACATTTATATACTTTCTAAAATCTGCAGTTAAAGATTGTTTACTGTATTTTTTTTTTCTTTAATTACAGCTCGCCTACCATAAAGATAAGCTCTGCAATCACACTCAGTGGTCCACTTGTTGCCACTAAAGTTGCTGTGTTCTCAAGTAGAGGACCCAATTCAGTATCTCCATACGTTCTCAAGGTAAATAAAACTATATCCAATTATTTCTATATAATTTCATCAACTCATACCAACGTAATATTCGCAGCCTGATGTAGCAGCTCCCGGTGTGGCAATATTGGGTGCCAGCACTCCATTTATGGTGAGTTCAGAGAATGGGTTCATTGCTCTGTCCGGGACGTCAATGTCTACGCCTGTGGTCGCCGGTGTCGTTGCACTCCTCAGAGCTATTCATCGTGACTGGTCTCCTGCAGCAATTCATTCCGCTCTCGTCACTACAGGTACGTAGTTATTAAGGGATTCCTTAAACATTTACATATATACTATGTTATATGTAAATAGATATTGATCTGATGAATGACTTCTTCTCAATTGATTAAGCTTCCACAACTGATCCTTACGGAGAACCGATCTTCGCCGACGGATTTTCTGAGAAACTAGCCGATCCGTTTGACTTTGGAGGAGGATTGGTGAACCCGACCAAAGCAGCTGACCCCGGTCTCGTCTACAATGCATCCGCAGAAGACTACATGCGGTTTCTGTGTGCTTCTGGATATGACGAGAGGTCCATCGGAAAAATGGCAAACAAAAGTGATATGTATCATTGTCCTAGTCCTAGGCCATCGATGCTGGAGCTTAACCTGCCGTCAATAACCATTCCTTTCCTCGATAGAGATGTGACGGTCACTAGAACCGTCACCAACGTTGGACCCATCGTCTCGAAATATATGGTCATCGTTAAACCTCCTTTGGGTGTCGAGATCACCGTAACCCCCAACATTCTGTTATTCAACCCCTTGGTCCAGAAGCTGAGCTTTGAAGTGACAGTCTCCACAACTCACAAGAGCAACTCCATCTACTACTTTGGAAGTATAACTTGGACGGATGGCTCCCACTTTGTCAGTATACCCTTATCCGTGAGGACAGAAAGACTCATGTATTTCAACCATTAAGTTTGGAGGAAAAAAATATGAGTATCTTATTAAGCTAAAGAGGTGTGTGTAAAAGCCATCTACCTATCTATTGTAATAAAGTTTCGTTTTATAATTAGAATTAACTCTCTACTATTGGTCCACCACCTTAATCTATTATAATTAATCTTTTTCTATTGTTCTCTACTATATTGTACTAAAGCTACGGTTCCAGCTAATTATCCAACGGGACAGGACTCTGAATCAATCTCTTTACGCAATCTTGCTTTCACTAACAAATGGCATGAAGAACTCCGAACAGTACATCCACTCCATCCAAAGCCCAAAATCTCTACTCAAAATCAGCGGAACGGTTTTGTGATGTGCTGTTGATTGTTCTAAAACAAACAGAATTTTCCAAAATATTCCTACTATTATATTCAGAAGAGGAAATTCACTGTTGTTACTGTTTATTTCTATTTTATAATGTATGTTTAATAATAGTCACTTGTCTTTTTTTTTTTTTTAACATCTAATAATAGTCACTTGTCTTATCTTCACATTGTGTTAACTAAATTAATGTTGTTTCGACTTAGTAGACATCGCAAGCTAGATATATAACAAAGAGAACCATACAGTAACTCTTGCTATGGTTATATTTCCTCGATTAAAAAATTAATAATAACTTTAGCTTCTCTTCTGGTTTTTGCTTTATTTACAACAATATTTTTTTAATGTTTTCTATTTCATCGTTACTGTATCTAATAATAGAGTTTTATGAGTTTGTGTTGCTGTTTTAAGTTAAGTTTTATAACAGTTTAGATTAAGCAAATGCTATATGATTTTTTTTTAAGTTATATTGCATAATCTTTTTGTTTGAATTGTCAGATTATGGGCATGTTAAAAATGTTTTAATATTTTGGTGATCTATATTCTATAGTATATAAAGAAAGAACGAGAAACTGGCCAAACTAAGTAAAAGTTGAAAAATTAAAGTGCAAAACTGAATATTAACCATGTAAACATAAAAAAGCATATATACCTCTTGATAAGATAATTTTTTTTTAAAGAAAGAAACACAAACATACACAAAAAAGTTAGCAAATTATTTAGATCTAAATTTCTTAACTCTCAACAGTGTTATATGAACTTAAATTTTCAAAATCAAAATCCTTGTTCTTAACTTCTTGGTGCTGTGAAGATATTGGCGTATCTTTTTTCTTTGGTGTTACTTTACATGACTTCGGACGTCATGTTAAGTGGCATTTAAAACATTTATATGTACTGAAATACAAGAAAAAAAAAACAAAAAGTATTTAGGAAAATATTAGTAGATGATTATGAATATAAAAGAATTAAAAAATTAGTTATGAGTTAGAAAAACGTGAGATCCTATATGATAAGCTGTGAGATTGGTGGTAGAGATTCGATGATAAAGAGCGGCATAATTTTGATGTATAAAGAGGTAGAAATAGAGAAACACAGTCATGTAAGTTTTTTATATTATTTTTGAAAATAATATATAATATATAAAAGGAGTATAAGAGTAATCGTATTTGAAGAAAGAGAAAAAACACTATAACACCATAATTATATTTTTAATTCTTTTGATTTCATAGTTATCATATGTATATCTGCTAGTATTTATATGTATATGATTCAGTGGTCATTTCCAATAGATCGAGGATTGGTTAAAGACTTAAAGTGAGTTAAAATCAAATATCAAAATTTATTTACGATCGAAAATCATTGAGATTTATTTACCATTTGTACAAATAAGAATCCCGTTAGTTACATGATTTCTTCTTCATATACAATAGATATAGGATCTACTATCTAGTATAAGTACATTTTGTGCATTTAAACAATTTTAGACGTTTTAAATAATACAAATCTTATATATATTTTTTTCAATAGATATAGGGTTATTTTTTTAACCAATATAGACGTTTTAATAACAAAAAAATCTTTCTATTTTTTTCATTTGGCACTGGATATTTTTCCGAGTTCCCTGAGGATGAGGGATAGAAAAAAAAAATCTCTTGGTCACTATTCTAGAAAGAAACATGAATGTTAGTGCTTTGGACATAATAATTCAACTATGGCACCAACACGACGCAGACGTTAAAAGAAAAAGAAAAAAAAAAAGACATTAACGTGACGCAATCCGAAGTTGACAGTTTTTTCTCGTTGTGAGAAAAATATATCACGGAGGCAAGTGGTCCGTCCATGATGTCATGATCTGAATCTGTCGACTCTATTAAGTGCTTTTCTTCTTATGCATTTGTTATAAACTCATAATTATAACATTAATTATATAAAATTGAAGAATGCATGATTTGTCAAACTTTTAAAACATTTGACTCTTCGATTAAGAAGTTAAGACATCTTGCTAAACTTAACTAGAACATCTATCAACTAAAAGATACAAAAGTAACCCATCAAACAAAAAAAAACAAAAAAAAAATGAATAAACTAGGAAAAAAAGATAAAGAAAACTTGTTTACATGCAAAATATAAATAATAAGATAAAGAATTTATCTGTAGTTTTCTTAACCGAGATTGTTCTTGCAATAGATAGATGATTTAAGTTTTTGTTTGTGCATTTCTTCGATTTCCTAATAAAATAGCTTCCAAAAATTATATAAGGAAAATCTGGGTCTAGTGCATCTTCCACTACAATGAGTCAATGCTAATTTAAAAGATTGAATATATATCAAAAGATTCACATTTGGTTGGTTAATATTCTTTTGGAATATTCTCACTTGTTCATTGCCAATTGCAATTTCTCACTGAATACTTTGTTAAAGTCGCATCAATAATCACATTTTGACTATACTATATATTAAAAATTCAACTAATAATTAGAAAACCATGCATGATATAAATAGTTACACATCATCTACTAATTATACTTTGGACATCATGTAAAAGTGACCATTGTCAAATTTGTTGTTAGCTTCTCAGCAACGGCGATAGATACGTGCTTATGAAAAAACTCATCACTAAATTTTTGTTTTTTTAAAATTTTTTTTGATAAGTTTCTTCAGCAATACGATTTTATGATCAACCTGTCCTTTAATTTATATATATATATATTATTATAAAGAACAAAAAATATATATTGGTAAGATACCGTTGTCGACGTTAGCTGAGACATGGTCTGATGATCTGATAGGCTGATGACGTCAAGTGTCTCCAATTTACCCTGAGTTAAAACAAATCAACTGCGTCAGCATCATTTATAATTGCTTCGACACCTCTTATTATTATTGTCCATGTGACGAGACCAACAAATCTCTCTAACGTACTCTTCATCTTCGGTGTGCTACACGCTCCATTTATCATTATATATGTTTTGCAATACGTTATTATTTGTTTATAAACCCAACTGAATAATTCAAATGGATGTTGTACTTAAAAACGGAGATGGTTACCTAAAAACTTGTTCGCACATGTGCAAACCCAAATTTTGAATAGAGGAAATATTATAACCATTTGTTTTTACAGAGAGGCAGAACGTACGAGCCACCTTAGAATCGTATTCCATTTTTGTCTTTTGTCCTTATTAGCATTTGATTAAAAGAAGAAAAAAAAAACATTATTGTCGGTCATGGGATTGAAACATTAAACAACAACAACAAGTCGTAAGATTAACGATGAATCATCGTCGATGATGTTGCCGTAATAGCGTAAACACCAAGCTATATACAAATATTTCGAGGATCTCGTCCTCCACGTACGCCAGATTTCATGGAAATCTCAAAAACCAAAAACGTGTTCCTTTTTGTTTCGGGTTTTTATTCCTTCTATATCAATATTTACATGTACTATATAACATAGTTGTAATACTATAGTAATATACGTTAGTCGTAATATGATACATGCATGTTTACGTTACACGTACAATAAATTGTTTACAATATAGTTATGTGAGTAATACACATAACATTTACATAAAATAAAATAAATGTTGATTTTAGCTAGGGATATGAATTTTTTTATTATAAACTCTATGTTCGTTCATAAATAAGAAGCGACCAAGCTGGCATCGAAAACAAATTTAGAAGTGACCAAAACAATTATTTAATTAAGAGAAAGAAAAAAACAAATGAATAAATAATTAGCTAATGGTTACGTCATTATAGTGACACCCAATTTCTCCATTTATGGTCGCTCTCACCTCGCGTTGACATCAACAAATCTCCCACTCTCTCTCTCTCTCTCTTTCTCTCTTTCTCTCTTTCTCTCCCTCTAATGAAGACGATGCGAGGTTTACGAAACTGCTCAAACGACGCCGTAACGCTGGACCTGACGGTTCATCCCCCTCCTACTCCTTCTCCTCCATCAGCACCAGCAACAGTCTCCTCTTCCACCGCCTCGACGAGCCTGTCGTTCGACGAAGAGGAGACATCAGAGTCAAAGATCGGACGGCTGATATCAGAGCATCCAGTCATCATATTCACTCGGTCTTCCTCATGCTGCATGTGCCACGTCATGAAGAAGCTTCTGTCTACCGTCGGAGTTCACCCAACAGTGATCGAGATCGACGACGGAGAGATCGCTTACCTCGCCGTAGAAGCTGCTCCGGTGCTTTTCATCGGTGGTGCTTGTGTCGGTGGGTTCGAATCACTTGTAGCACTTCACCTTAGTGGTAACCTTATTCCTAGACTCGTTGAAGTCGGTGCCTTATGGCCTTAGTAATTGTATTTTTCTTGTTATGTTGTTTTTTTTCTTTTCACTCTAGCTTATTTATAACTAATTATGAAAATCTGATAATCATATTTCAAAAAAAAAAAACCACCATTGTAAATTTCCATTTGAAACATAAAATTGTTGTATTTGTTTGTCTGAAATCTTTTTACCAATTGTGTTATGTACTTGTGTTGTTTAGTTTATCAACATCACGTGTGAGATATATTCCATCATAAATATAATATATGTATTATTTGCGTATTGAATTATATGTTAGATCAATATGAGAAGGAAAACAATTTCAAGTATATATTATGTCAGACTAAGTCCGTATATAAGTTTGTTTTCTCAATACGACTAATTTTAAGAGCTGATCGAACCATTCGATCTAGTAATTCCTGATATGGGAGATGAAGTACTGGTTTGACAATTTTTCTTCGTTAATTTGGGGAAGCAAACTGAGAAAAAATAAAGAAAGAGAGACATTATTATAGTACAATTATGTCATCGGTGACCGGTCTCTCTATTAAATATTGGCCTCGAAATTATGAAGTTTTTTTATTTTTATTATTATATGTAAAATAGAATCCGTTGATTACCACGGAATCTGACTACTATCTTTTTCTTGGACAAATTTGGTATTTTAGTATCTTGATTTTTAATATTTTTCTTAAATATAATTTGTATCGTTTTGGCACAAGAATCTTTAGGTTGTAAAAGTAAGTGTCGTCCGCAATTATTGCACTATCACTGCCGTTGGATTCTTCTTCGATACGTGAGACCAATCTCTCTATTTACTACTAGTAGTAGTATAATTTCGATTAATGAATTCACTACCCCCATGTGTAACATAAAGGTATGTTTATTAATATTTTGTCGTTATCATCTCTCAACCACTCAACACTAGCTCACGAACGTATTTGAGAAATCAATCTACAATCGAATTTTTTCTCTCTCGGTTAAAATAAGATTCACCCAAGCTAGCTAGAAGAATATCATCTAGATGTATATGCTTTTCATTTTGTCCCTATTAGTAGTGAGTTTTCTTGCATGTTAGTGCTAATTATATTTATAAACATGCGCACGTCAAAAAAAAAAAAAAAAATCTACCCGTAGATCCGTATCTACCCAACACGCACATAAAATATGTTCTCTCACTCAACAATATATATTCACACAATTTTGGGAGTTCCTCAGTGGTGGGGTGGGGCTTGGTTAACCTTTGGGGGAAACAACTTGATCTTTTTCTTTCCAAACATCAACACTTTTTATGAGTTTATTATCTTTTATTTTCTTCTTTGTGTTACGATAATAGTATATACATAGAGTAAAATAGTTATAATAAGGTACTTTTTTGTAAAACGAAAATAATGATGCAGTTGTGTTACATGTTTTTCTTTCTTTTCGAAATCAGGTCGTTGAAGTTGTACTTGCTGCGAGCAAGGGCATATCACCCATTCAGAGTATGCAAACTGAACAAAAAGATATGGGGTCAACTTGTATAAAGCTATGATTCTAAAATTTGATGTTTTAATAATTGTAAAGGCAGAGTATAAGCAATAAACCAATGAGAGATAAATGATGTAATGCACAGACAATTATATATAACGACAATACTAAAAAAGAGAGAGATGCCTAAAGAAACGAAATGATTAAAAGGCAACATTAAGTGAAGGTGAGTTTTACAATGGCCACAGTTTAAAGGGTTACTGGAAAAGACATGTGTATGATTAGTGAATGCGATTTATCTTTTCTTTTCTCACTCGATCGATCTTGAGAGACATCTCCACCACAAAATTAAGACAGGGCACTGGTTCAAAATCCAAACGATTCATTTTGATAACAAGTTGACAACGTCTTTAAGATTTTTTTAAAAAAGACATCTCGATACAAGAGAACAAAGAGAGGTAGAAATTAACCAAGTGTCACTAAAGGTAAATGACGCAAAAAAAATGACGTGGTGTAATTCTGGATTTTGATTGTATGTGTCTCGTAAAAAAACTGTTTGAATTTTCACGTTGTTTACAAAATAGTATTATATAAGGTAAAATATAGCATTTATATACAAAAATGTTATACCACGTTATTATTATTTCCAAATATATACGTTATCTTTGCAAAGAAACCCAAAATAAAAATAAAAAGCTTTCTTCAGCAATTTTTTTTTGTTTTTTTTTTGTAAGAGAATGTTGAGACAGTAGAGTTCACATCTACTATAGTAATTTGTTTTTTCCCAGCTTAATAGTGCTTTAAATAAATTCTACAACTACAAAGGCTGTCATGAGTTGTGCTTGAACATGGATGCTCCCTTATAAATCTGAGCTCATACACCACTCACCCACCACTATTGGCCACACTAATTTTAATATAATTCTAACCATTTTATATAGCCAGTCCTTTATGATATGTTGATAGTGATGTTATAAGAAAAAATTTGTTAGTCCTTTAACAAAAAGGAGAAAAAATTGATTAACTGTCCTGAATTCATAATAATTAGCAAACAACTCCTCTAATGTCTAATGGTATTCTTTTGATGTATATTTACAGACTTTATAGTAGGGTTCAAGTTGAACCAATTAAAAAAAAGTGACAGTAAAAAAAAAAATAGATTAGATTACAACAGATATGAATATCAATTATAAGTACGGAAGGCTTATCACATGGCTTTTTATCTCAAAGAAGTAAACCACACAACCACACCAATCGATCCCACCCGATCTGTGGCGGACTGGTTCGGGGATGGACTTGCATCTTCTCGGCCCACCACCACATTTCTTTACATAGTTTTTGGTTTCTTACACACTCATATCCTATACATTTGGTTGGATATCCAAAAGGTAACTGTAATCATTACTAACATAGTAACATGACTACTTAAGTTGCGTTCGAATTGATTTGTGCTTTTCTCATGCTCCAAGCTTCCAAAGAGGACATGGTCACACCTTTTATTCCATGATTGAACACGTAAAGCCTAGATTCTTCACCTATTGCTATTTTCGGATAAACCCTAGACGTTATCACACTTCTTCCTTCTCCCCCGTAGCTCTCTATAACCGAGTGATCAATCTAGAAACCAAAAACGTTTAGTCATTCCACGTTGAAACCGAGAAAGGTCTAAATATGTTAACTAAGGTTATACTAAAAAAAATGAAATTAATCTGACCAGACATCTTAACGAGATCTTTTCATGTCTTGGATCAATATCAAGGACCGTTCCAACTGCAGCTTTCTCTATGTTGTCTCTCAATGAAGACCTAAATGACCATAATATAAGAATATCAAATCACACAAGATCAGATGCTAGCATATGTACATCGGTCTTAAAAGTTTTGATCAAAGTAAAAAAAAAAATACTTAGTCTCATCGCTGCACATTACAACCGAATGCCCATCCCCACGACGAATAACTCTAAAGAAGATTGCAGTGTGCTCTGCTAAATCATTGCTAGCTAACGCTAACAATCCAAAAGGTCCATAAACGCCTCTAACCGATGCGCTGTAACTAGCGATTAAAGTCGCTTGGTCAACTTCTTCTGAATCCAGAATCTCGGGATCATTTGCTAGATCACGTAAATCAAAAGCTACTTCTATGTCGGCCTTAAACAAATATATTAAAAAAAACAAAAAAAAAAAAAACAACAAATTCGTTAGTACAGTACAAGCAATCCAATCTAATATACTTTATTATATCATTTTTCCTATTTAAGTTGGGTTTTGTTACTAAATCATAAAAAGGAAACTGACTTGTGATGCAGTGATGCCAGATATTTCAAAAACAGAGCCGCTTCCAAGTTGTTTGTTATACAAGCTAACTCTTTTGGCTCGGAGATTGTTGATTTCCTCGACTGGCCATTGCATCAACTTCTTCCCACTTCTGTCCAGCCAGATCTCCCTTGGGAGACCCTAAAAAGGAAAGTAACAAGTTCATGAAATTTCTTGACATTACTACAAAGTTTTTAAAAATTTAAAACTTATTAAAATATACTAGGTTTTACCATAATTCCAGCCCATCCTTTAACGATATCATCTTCCTTGCTGTCTCTCTCCATAATCCATCCCCATGAGATCCTCCGATTCGTAGCACTATCAAAGAAGGCCTTGGACGCGAATAGATTTCCGTAATCATATCTCAAATCATCAGCTGTGTTAGTGAACTCGGAGTCTGCGGAAAAGATTTCTGTCTCGGAAGAATATGAACCAATGACATAGCAATCATTGCCTCCATAACTCGCCTTTAACACATGCCTCACACTCGAATTGTTCACCGACGTGTCTAAACCCTCTCTACCAGTGACCGACACCGGAAAAAAATCCACACATTCCCACATTCCGGTGACTTGTGATTCAAGTAGAGGCACATGAGACTTTGTCCATTGAACAAAATCATCACTGTGGTACAAAAGTGCCATTCCTTTTTTACTATCTTTCTCCTTAGCTCCGACAAGAACTCTCTATCTCCCATCTTGCCCTAGCCACGCGGTTGTTGGGTCTCGGAAACAATCAACAGGGACGTTACTAGGTGGAACCATCACAGGGTTGCCTTTAGCCTTTACCCACTCACGAAGCAAAGGGTCAGAAGCATCCTTAGGTTTGGCAAGATCAGTTACCTGGTGTTTATTCGTGTCGCTTCCTGTGTACAACATTACAGGTTTGCCATCAGGGAGGATCGTGGCGGATCCTGACCAGCAGCTGTTGATGTCAGAGGGATCTGAGGGAACAATGGCTGGTTCAAGTTGGATCCAGTTACCAAATCTTGTGAAACAGAGTGTCCCCATACCATAATTTCCCCAAAATATGGAGCCAAAGGGTTGTGTTGGTAGAACAGATGGTAGAATCCTTTGTAGTACAATGGTCCTGAGTTTGTAAAATAATTATGAGTACAGTCTCATCATGTATGCAATGTTTGGATTCTCGTCAAATAAAAGAAAAACAGAGCTTTTTTACCGTTGGGATCTTCACATTCCAAGATGCATCGTAGGTAATAATAATCCAAGGACCAGAAGCGCAACAACAATAACCAACACAAAGATTAATTATAATTATGTTGGTACTGTATATGTGAAAGTATCATATATTGCACATTGGATCAGAGAAAAGTAAGACAAATAGAGTTATAAGTTATAACCGTTGAGCCAATTCTTGTGCGCTTGAAAATGGAAGCAAGTTCGGTAAGGCTGGAAGTTGCCATATCCATCGCAAGAAGAAGCCTCCATTGATGATCGTTTCTCTTATACTGTATTTACTTTGGATCTTGCCAAGAAAATGTAAAGAAAGTTTCGTTGTAGTTTATAGTGCTATGTGTACTACCTCTTCGTATGTCATAAGGTTAAAGTAAGTGATGTGGAAGATATTGTTAAATTATTTGTTAATTTGTATTGTTCTTACAATCATCATAGATTATCCATTTTGTTTACTTTATCTTTTGTCGACTTCATTTTTGTTTACTTTAAACTGTGGAAATATTTGCAGATAGGGTTACCATACTTTAAATTTGTTTGTTCGTCGGTCTTTGTTTATGAAAGAAATTAATCGCTTAAAAGTAATTTATTACAATATACAATCGATTCATGATAATGTAATACGTGGCATAACTTTAGTTCCCGAATTATTATTACACAAGTAATGTAATCAATTAATATTATCGTAATTTAAATAATTAATAGTATATGTTAGATTTTTTCTGAACTTAGTCCATCAACCAAATAAACTCTTGCTTGTGCTGTTGCTTACACACACACACCCACAAACACAAAATGATACACAAAATGAGAACTGATAGAGGTTTATTCGTGCCAATTCAATAAAAAATAATAATAATGAGAAGGCTTACAATAGTGTTTACTAAGGGAAACGAAAATAAACCCACACCAATAACTTGAATACAAAAGACGCATATTTCTTACAAGATTCAGCAGTTCATGATAAGGCATGAAACATCTTGACTTGCAGTCCAAATATATATATATCTATATATATATATTTTGTTTGAAAAACACAGTCCAAAGATTATTGTTATCATTATGAAATGATTAATATCAATAAGTTGAGTTTAAATTGATTTGGGCAGTTCTCATGCTCCAAGCTTCCAGAGACGTCATGATCACACCGTCTGCTCCATCATTGAACACATAAAGCTTAGCTGCTTCCCCAATTGCCAATTTGGGATAAACCCTTGATGTTATCACACTTTTTCCTCCTGCTGCGTAGCTCTCTATAATAGAGTGATCGATCTAGGGGAAAAAAAAAAAAAAAGAGTGGTTTTCACAAGTTAAATTCTTTTTTTTTTTTTAAGTTAAATTGTTTACTATGTAAATTTCTTAGCAAAATAAAAAATAAAAATTGATTATGAAGAAAAAGTCTTAATTTGGGCGAAATTAATTTAGCTCACCAAACATCTTAATGAGATCTTCTCCTGCCTTGGATCGATGTCTACGAATGTTCCATGCGAAGATTTCTTCACGTTGTCTCTCAACGAAGACCTACGTATAATAACATGGATATAAACTACCAATTTTGTACAATAAAACATCAGATTTCATGTTTTTGGATCAAATTCAAAAACTGACCTCTTCTCGCTGCTGCAAATTACAACTGCATATCCATTTCCACGACGGATAACTTTAAAGAAGATTGCGGTTTGTTCTGATAAATCATCGGTAGCCAACGCTAGCAATCCAAAAGGACCGTAAACGCATCCAACCGAGCTGTCACGATCGAACAGAGTCTCATCATCAACTTGGTCAGCCTCCAGTTTCTCGGGCTTCTTATCTTCCAGGAATGGCAGATTAAAAGTCACTTCTACGTCGGCCTGTAACAACAAAACAAGAGCTACTTGTTAATTACGTTATATAATCATCGATTCGTTTGTTTTTTTTTTTTCTTTTGTTAAAAGGATATTTTCCTTTTTTGACAAAAATAAATAAAAATAAAATAAATATAGAGTTTCCATTTATTTGATTTTACTTTTGATTGTGTTAAGGATTTAATTATGCATTCAATGCAAACAAATTTTTAAAATTTTTAAGTGTTTTCAAGATTCGTAACAAACAACACGATGAGAAAACTTACTTGGGCGGCAGTGATGCCTGAGATTTCAAAGGCTGCGCCGGTTTCGAATACATAGCTATCGAGTTTAACACTTTTGGTCCGGAGATGATTGATTTCTTCAATTGGCCATTGAATCAGCCTCTTTCCACTTGTGTCCAGCCACATTTCCCTGGGAAGAGACTAAAGCCAAATACAGCCCAATTCATCAGAATTACTTCACAACTAATATTAACTTTTAGTTAAAACCTAGAATATTATATTTACCATTAGGCCAGCCCATCCTTTCTTGAAATCATCTTCTTTGCTATCAGTCTCTACCACCCAACCCCAGTTGATCCTTCGATTCTTAACACTATCGAAGAACGCCTTCGAGGCATAAAACTTTCCATAATCATATCTCAAATCCGCACTTGTCTTAGTGAACTCATAATCACCTATAAACTCTTCATTCTCAGAAGAGTATTTACCAAGGACATAGCAATCATTGCCTCCAAAACTGGCCTTCAAGACATGCCTCACACTAGCATTGTTAACCGAAGTATCTACACCTTCTTTACCAGTGATGGAAACAGGGAAGAAATCAGGGCATTCCCACATTCCGGTTCCTTCAGCCTCAAGTAAATGCACCGGATACTTTGTCCACTGGACAAAATCATCGCTCCGGTACAAAATGGCCATTCCCGTCTCAGTATCTTTCACCTTAGCTCCAATGAGCACTCTCCATTTCCCATCTTGCCCTTGCCACGCGGTTGTTGGATCACGGAAACAATCATGATAGACATTACTTGGGGGAACCATCACAGGATTGTACTTTGGCTTAACCCACTCACGAAGCAAAGGGTCAGAAACGTCCTTTGGTTCGGCAACAACTGTGACTTGTGTTCTGTTGTTGTTGTCGAGTCCGGTGTACAAAATTATAGGTCTGCCATCAGGGAGGATCGTGGCAGCTCCTGACCAGCAGCTGTTGATGTCAAAGGGCTCAGAGGGAGAAAGGGCTGGTTCAAGTTGGATCCAGTTGACCATATCTTGTGAAACAGAGTGTCCCCATATCATCATTTTGCGACTGAAATCAGGAGCTAAAGGGTTGTGCTGGTAGAACAGATGGTAGAATCCTTTGTAGTACATTGGCGCTGGGATAACATTTGTAACATTAATAATTCAATCATATAAAACAACTATAGGGTTCCTTGTGTAACAAGTTAATGATTTGCAGAGTATTTGATTACCGTTTGGATCTTCAGGTTTCAGAAATGCATCCAAGGCACCAGAAGGGACACAAAATTAAGACAACGGTTAGTATTTATGTAAATGATGAATTACATAAAACTAATTGCAATACATAGAAATGAGCTATTGTTTTTGGTATGATGAACTAATAACATAAGAGATACTATATATTTGCCAACATGATCTATGAAAATATATATATGAGGGGAAAAGAAAGAAATAGAACCGTTGAGCCAATTTCTCTGAGGTTGGAAATGGAAGGCAGTCCGGTTAAGAACTTCGTTTGGAAGAAGAGCATCGACGTTTCCATGTTCAGCCATTGATGATGATCCGCCTTACGCTGCAACGGATTTTGATGCTCGAGGATTACAAAAACTATGTGGTATATATGTGTAGTGTAGCTTTCTTATAATGCCATTGGCGTCGACGTTGACAAATTATTCTAATTTTGTCTTAAGCTCGAAGTATCGTGGAAGAAACTCTCAGATAAATGTTGATGACGTCTATGTAATTAATTACTATAATTATTGATTAAGCTTTGTAGACGTCAGTCTTTGTTTTCTTTTCCTTTTTTTGGGATAAAAAAGTCGTCGGTCTTTGTTAATAATACATTGCAGGTAAGATCTTTATTGGATTATTCTTAAATGTGATTTCTATTATTATTGCAGAACTGTCAGTGGGGTTATTGTTTATGGAATAAGTTATGCTTTCTCTAATGAAAAAGTCTATAAAACTGTACATATATAGTCTTTGTTTTTAGAAAATATCCTTTTAATATTTTAAAGTTTGTATTATAAACAAGGAGACGGCATGATCAATATCATATATATGGCTTAAGTCTTAAGTAGTTGAAAGCGCCACTTAATTAATCAGACCAATAAGAATTGTGTTCGTGATTAATAGTTTAATACCAAGTAATTAGACCAATAAGAATACATAATTCAGAATATCCATTAGATAGCTGCATTATACTTATCCTATGTGACTTCTTAAATAACATGTATTTTAGTGGTTTTTTTACTTTTTGACAAACATCTTACATTTTACTTTATTTTGTATCATACTATATGAGTATTTTGTTATCAAGAAAAGAAAAGAAAAAATAAAAACATTTAAACAAACATCATATCATTTTTACCTATGCCAGTCTTTCTATATAATGGAATATTTACGCCAACCCAAAAAGAGTCATTTCCCAAACAAATCTAACACATTGTGTCATTTTACTTTTCAGAATTAGGAGACTTTAGCATATTAACCAAAAATAAAAACCATCAATTGTCAATTCATAACTTGAATACAAAAACACACATAAATCTTTAAACAATTCAACTGTTCATGACAAGCCACGAAATATCTCAGGGACAGTCCGAAGATTATTATAGGATAGGTTAATCATTATTATTTATTAATGATTGCTTAAACTGCGTTGGAATTGATATCAGCACTTCTCATGCTCCAAGCATCCAGAGACGACATGGTCACACCCCTTGTTCCATCATTGAACACGAAGAGCTTAGCTGCTTCACCAATTGCCATGATGGGATAAGCCCTAGACGTTATCACATTTCTTCCTCCTGCTCCATAGCTCTCTATAACAGAGTGATCGATCTATCAAAAGGGAAAAAATAAAGTGTTTGTACAAGTTGGGTTAAATTGTTTAAGACAAAAAAAAATATCACAGGGAGATAAATAAAACCATGCAAACAAAGAAAAAAAAGACGAATTGAATTGACTCACCAAACATCTTAATGAGATCTTCTCATGTCTTGGATCAATGTCTAGGAAAGTTTCATGCGCAGATTTCCTTACGTTTTCCCTCAACGTAGACCAACAATTAACATTTGTTTTTTTTTTTTTTTTTAAACAATTAACATTTGTTACAACCAAAAATCATAAGAGAAAGAAACATTAGGTTACGGTTGAATTAAATACAATCTTTTACTTCTTCTCATCGCTTCTTTTTTTTAAAACATTAAGTTTCATGCACCTTTTTATTTTGTCATTTTGACAAAAAATAATATATATATTCCTTATGCTAAGCTCAAATCAAAATACCAAAGAACAAATTGGGAGAAAATCCCAATAGTCATCACACACTGGTATTGTTTTTCTTCCTAATCCCGATTACAAAGTAAAATATCGAGTTCAAGTTAAAACAGCAAAGACTAATTGCATGTTGTTGATGTTAAAGTGGTCCTTACTTTCGATCTAAACATATCAACTCAAAAATAGTACGATTCATAACGCATGATGTCGATCCTTAAGGGATGCATGTTATTAGTATAAACTATAAACAATTTGATTTCAGAGAGGTAAGTATTCATATCAAAATCCATAGGTTGATATTTTGAGTCTTTAGAAAATAGTGGATATTGAGCTCCCAAATTTTTTTTATTTTATTTTATTTGTTTGCCTTCAATTCAACGATGACTTAAACTAAATAAGTAAGATATATATATGACAATATGAATATTTTTTAATAATAGTTATAGAAAGATATAACTAGATATAATCCCTTATAATTATTTTAAGGTATAAAATAAATAATTTTGGTTATAACACTCGAAAATATGGATACTTTTGGTAAAATATTTCTTCATAGATCATAGTAAGTAAAACAGTAAAAAATAATTCCTTAGCAAAAAAAGAAAAAATCCAGAGGTACAAAATAATTTAGCAATATTACCCGCTAATCGGTCTTGCCACCACCGCAAGAGCTTTCAAGCTTCGCCGTTTTCTCCTCCGCGCGCGCGACGATGTCGGAGACTCGCCGGGATCAATCTAGCCATGAACGAATCGACAACTCGGGTTAGCTTCACCTCCTTTATCAATCCATGACCTCTCCACATACCCAAAATTGTACCATTGTATTTTTGATTCTAACATCCGCTATCATTTGCATTTTACTGATGTGTGAGGAGATTATGTTCAATTGTTCCTAGAACTAGCAATTCTATTGTTATTGTATTTGGATTTCAGTGTCTGATTCGAGCTCCCTTCTCTGATTGATCATAGAACAAGCTGTGTTTCGTTTCGTACATTGTTGTTAGTGATCGGATGATTTGTTTTGTCTGCGTAGAGATTCAACACCGAAGAGTTGTAATTGAGAACAGTCATGGTGAGAAACTCGTTGGAGTTTTGCAAGATACGGGTTCTACTGAAACTGTTGTCATCTGCCATGGACTTCAATCATCTAAGGTGTTTGCTTCTTTTTTTTTTCTTTTACTCCATTCTCATCATCTAATTGATTTGTATTCCTTGTTATTACTGAAATCCTGATATATATCCTTCTAGGATCGGATTCCCATGGTCACCATTGCCAATTTCTTTGAAAGAGCGATGATTAGTTCTTTTCGGTTTGACTTTGCTGGCAACGGGTTAGTGAATCCTTCTAACTAGAGTGGAGGAAGTTTTTGCTGCTTTACTCATGTTTTGGGGCTTCAGGGAAAGCCAAGGATCATTTCAGTATGGTAACTATCGCCGTGAAGTTGAAGATCTGCGCTCTGTTCTGCAACACTTGCGTGGGGATAACCGTGATATTTCTGCCATAATCGGACATAGTAAAGGTCTATCAACGTAAAGCTATGGTGGATTTCGTTTTTTTATTATTTTAAGAAAGTATATGTGAGATCTGAAGAGTTGTTGTTGTCACTGAAATTTTTGGCAGGTGGAAATGTGGTGCTTTTGTATGCAGCAAAGTACAAGGATGTGCAGACTGTTGTGAATATCTCAGGCCGGTTTTTTCTTGAGAGAGGAATCGAAGCCCGGCTTGGTAAGGATTACTTTAGGAGGATCAAAGAGAATGGGTTCATTGATGTTAGGAACAGAAAGGGTAAATCTTCCAGCTGATTTGTTTTGTGATTGTTAGAGCCAGAAAACTTGGTGTTTGGGCATTTGCCAATACCATTACAGATAACTCATTCCCCTTTCTCCGTTGCAGGAATGTTTGCATATCGGGTAACCGAAGAGAGTCTAATGGACCGTCTCACAACTGATACGCTTGAAGCATGTCTCTTAATTCATGAAAACTGCAGGTCTGTCATCATACTCTATAAGGATTTGTCTCTTTTGGAAGGGGAACTAATGACTCTCTTAAAATTTCAGGGTCTTAACAGTTCATGGGTCAAATGATAGGATCGTGCATGTAACAGAAGCATCCGAGTTTGCCAAAAATATAAAGAATCATAAGTTGTGTCTTATTGAAGAAGCTGATCATGAGTACACTTCTCACCAGCATCAGCTTGCTTCTATTGTTCTCTCATTCTTCAAATTGGACCCCAAGAATGATGATGAGTCAGGTGATATTAGTACAAGTAACCAAGACTCCATGAGATCAGTTGTTCCTATTTCATCGCGAATGTAACTGAGTCAGTTAATCTCTTATTTAAGGTTTGGTTTTCGATGATGATAACTGTTTGATATGATAGATAAATCGGTAAAGCACAGATAGAGATCAAAATGTCATTATGCTGGAACAACTTTTGGTGTCAGGTTAAGTGAATAAGTGCTATCCAGTAATACGTCTCAACGCAAACTTAACTATAACGGTTAAGCCTGGTTTAGTGCTAAAACGATTATCAATTTTGGGATCTAACTGTCCATTACTATTGACTTATAAGACGATTATCAATTTTGGGATCTAACTGTCCATTACTATTGACTTATAAGACGAGGGCTCACGGGTTTTGCCAGTGAGAGTTTAGAGTCTAAAAACCGGACATCAAGTTGCTTCCTAAATCCGAAATGGTGAAAAGCTGATCATGGGTAAAGGATGAAGAACAGATTCATTTCACGGCACATTTTAAATATTATGACCCACCAAAAACAGAAATGTTTGGAGAAACCTGTCTGGAATTATCGCATCCCGAAATAAGAAAATAGTATGATAATCCAACTATACGTTATGTTGAAAGTTATTATATCATGATGCGATATCCTCCAAACACATAGGAGAACTCAGGAACTAGCTCGTCTACATGAACCCGCCATGCCAAAAACCGAGGACAAAGGTGATCATCAACCAGCTTGGACCTTCTTCCCATCTTCGATGAAGAAAATGGATCTTTCAGGTACCTGGATGTGGCAATACAACACTCATGAGTAAGGACTGTGAAGCAGATTTACTCTAGTTTATTAAAATAACTGAGATATCACATGAATGCAATGAACAAGAAGAAGAAGCTGGGGAAGAAAAAAGGGTAAGTAATGTTACATCAGGCCAAGTGTCTGTAATGAATTCAACGATATCATAGATTATATCTCCTTGAACGTCAATTTGTTCCTTTTCAGTTGGTCCCTGAAGCACAAAATAAAGGCCAATAATCAGAGTGGTTCAAAAATCGTACAGAAGTAGATTTCATAATTATCTTCGGAATCCATATTTTGATATTAGAAACACAATAATTTTAAAGCATTACAGACTCTATGAAGCCATAAGTTGCCCAATCCAGATCAGATTTTTTCCCATTGGTCGCAAGATCAGCTCGATCAAAACCCAGTATCACTAGTCTGTCTAAGCAATTAAGCATATAACCTACTTTGTATTAATATTTGATATGCAATTTCATCTTCTACATACCTTGACAACTGATGCTCCAGTAGCAAACTTCTTCCCTAGCTTTTTAGAGGCGTCACTGAGTTTTATTCCTGAAGAACAAATTTTTACGGGACAAAAGGATGAGGCTTGTTCCAGACTTCCAGTCAGTAAGATGATTAAGATATCTCACCAAAAAAAAGTAAATAACTCACCAAACAGTTCTAGTCCCTTCACAATGGTGATACACTTACGCTTGTTGCGCACAACCTTTTCAATAATCACTTCTTGTCTATCCTGTGTAGAGTACCATAAGCGTTAGAAAAATAAGACAACCGGAAACAGGTTCACATGAAAGACCACAGAAACGAAAAAGAAAATCAAAAGATGTATGTACATCATGAAAACTTGCTAATACATTAGTACTTACTTTCTTTTTAACCTTTCCCCCTGGTAGGCGTTTCACTTCCTCCTTCTTGGATGTCCCTCCTATAAATATTCAAAAATCCAATGATTACTGATTCGGAATTCAACTAACAGCCAAATCCTTTCAACATAGGCATCAACACCAATCAGTAACTCTATATATATATCTCTCATTCATGTTTAAAAGTTTGTTAGCAGATTCTTCAGCCAAAAGGAATACATCACAGATGCTTCCAGCCATTCAATTGGAATCGTACATAAGCAATGTACAGTAACAAATACGTGAGACAGTAGAATACATAGACCAAGTGCATTGCAGCACCCTATTGAGTGAGAAAATAAACTTGCAAATATATGAGAACTATGAAGTGGGATTTATTAGTGAACGCCCAAAAGGAGAGATTACATACCAGTCTGAGCAGAAGATTGTGCCCCACCAGCACCACCAGAAGAGATTCCAACGGACTGAAGTTTGTCAGAAACATTATCTGCTGCCTTCTCGTTAGCCTCTGGACATTTAAATTCATATTCAAATCATATGTTAGTAAGCCGTCAAATCAGATAGTCAGAAGAATAAAAAAAACTCTACACAGTAGCACTGACGAAAATCTCTTTCAAGCATCGAAAATTAGAGGCAATAGACTAAAAAGATTTGAATATTTTAGATGGTATTCTAATTAAGGAACTAGAAAACACAGTGCACAGGAATTTATGCAAAATCAATCGAGTTTCGAGAAGTGGTGAAAATTAGGGTTTGATCTAATTCTGGATACCTTTGAGGAGATCAGGGTAGAGATCCGGGGCGTTTTCTAGGAGCCAGGGCTTACATCTAGCGAAATCAGAACCGAATTCACAGTATTCGGCAGGAAGAGAGCAAACACCGCAGTACAAAACCTTCGCCGGCTCGAGCTTCTCCGCCATAGATTAAAAAAATATATATTCTGAAGTTTATATTCTTCCTTGAAGCGACACTGAGATTATTGCTTGTGTAGCAAAGTTGATGAGGGAAGAGTATATAGATTCTACGGCGGAATAATCCCTTTTCTTATTTTTTTCTGTTCTTATGTTCGTGTCGCGCTGCCCCCCGCGAAGTAAATGATGTCGGAAAACCAACAGTGAAGACAAAAGTGAAAAAGGCTTTTTAAGACAATTATGTTGGGCTTCAGATTCTTTTTATTTTTGGAAAACTACAAATCTTTTTGATATTTTACTGGTTCAATTTGGGCCTCGTTTATTTTTTTTAAAGATAGCCCAGATCCAATACACCGTCACCACTCGTTTAATTTTATGATTTTTCCTTTTTAAGTCGCACCTAAAACAATACATTTTCGTCAAACTTTTTTTGCCGTTTTGGGTAGCGCCATTTGTGGCTTGGACAGATTCCTTTCTCTCATATTTGGTCACACCGACATCAGTCTGTAGTTGGATAAGATCTCACGATCTTATGGGTCGATAAAAATTGTATATCCACTTAAAAGACGATTTAATATGTTTAATGAACCATTTATTCATTCTTTCTTATTTTTAAAAGGACAATATGACCAGAAAATTTGTCTTTTTAGGAGACGCTGATGGCAACAAGATATATAATTTAATGTTTATAAGACTCATGAATAAGGAAGGAGTGGGAGCTATAGTATTAATTTTGTAATATGCAACTGCTCGAGGATAGTAGAATAGGCATGCAGTTAAGACGATTCACATCTTAAATGGTGTTTGTGTAATTCGCGTGAGAGGATTTGAACATTTAACACATCTCTTGAGTAGTAGTAGTAGTAGTATTCTTTTCTTCATTGTCTCTTCACAAAACCCCACGGCATCATCTTTTGCAATTTTTAAGGTTCTGTGTTTTATTACTCTACTACGTATGATCTTTTACTTTAATGCTCACTATACTGCGATTCTCCAGCTTTTTCGTACTATTACTCTCCATTCCATTTATATTTTTGTAATCCCATTAAAAAGACATATAACTTCAAAAATAAGAAAGTTCCAAACCAAGGCAAACATTAACAAAACAAAACTCCAAGATTTTTTTTTTCTTTTTTTTTTTCTTTTAAGAAGCCGTGAATTCTCTGTGGTCTTCTTCTTCTCTACTTGACAATATCTTATCTCTCTCTGACTCTTCTCTGAAATTTTCTTATAACTAACAAACTGAAGAAAATCTTCTTTTGGATCATTCCCAAAAGTTTTACAAAATCCAGAAAAAATAAAAATAAAAATAAAAATAAAGATTTATATGGAAAATTTTCAATTGTGAAATAATGAAAATCTCCAAGTCTAAAAACTCCATTTCCAGACCTTGACACTCAGATCAGACTTACACTTAGTTTTTTTAGAAGTTGCTATGACTGGTGTTTTACCTTTTGGTACACCTCCTTCAAATCCTTCACAGCTCACTTTGATCTCTACTCCTTCACTCTTCAGCTTCCCCATCATCATCTTCACTTTCGTTCTCATCTGGATCTCGTATCCCACACGCGCGCGCGTCAGATCTGTTTTCAGATCCTTCGCCTCATCCGGATCTAGCTCACGCGCCGTCGTAGACGTTGCGATCACCCCGTGGAACGAGGTCTTGTTCCCGTTGTCGCTGAAAAATGCCGGTACGGTTCCGTTTCCGAGAACCGTACCGGATTTGGCTGTTACGATCGTGACGATGAAAGGATCGTAGGAGAAAGTGAGGTGCTGGTTCGGATTCTCCGAGATCAGAGTGAAGTTGAACAAGGAAGAGAGATGCGACACGGAGGAATCAGACGAGGTGGTTAGATTGACGCGTCCGATTCGGAGCGACGGGACGGAGAAGGACGGCGGACGAGGATGGTAGATCACGTACATGGCGGTGGCGGCGATTGCGGCCATGAGAGCTAAGATGAGAATTATCAAAATCGACCAGAAACAGCAGCAGCAGCAAATTCGTCGGCAGCTTGGTCGGGATTGGTGGTGGTGACGGCGGCTGTAAGGCTGAGGACGGTAAACCGGACGGTTAGCTGGGATATAGACTTGAGGTTTCTGATTAGCTGTTCCGTTGGCTGTTACGGCGGCCGGAGCAGGGGGAGGTGGAATGGAACCAACTGGGGGAACTCCGTTAGTGGCGGTTGGTGGTTTGGAAGCTGGGAAGACTCGGTCTGTCATCTTCTCCGATTGTTTCTTTCTCTGGTCAGATCTGAGCTCACCAAATAGAGAAAGAGAGTGAGAGAGAGAGAAATAGAGAGAGAGACAATTGAGAGTTATTTGTGGAATCTTAATAGCTTTAAATTTTTTTGTAATATTTTCGTTTTATTATTAATTTTTTTGGAGGTATTTATTTATTGCTTTCTATAAAAAAATAATTTGTTTCCTTTTTGTTTTGGTTTTTTACTTAAATTTTTGTGAATGTTCATGACTTCCATGCCCAAGTGTGTGGAATCTTCATTGGGTGGTTAAAAATATTTAATGTAGATGATGATACAAAGTTATGTACAAAGTTCTTTTTTTTTTTTTTGACAATACCAAATTATTTTCTGAGAACAAATCAAATAATACACAAATGTTGTGTTTATTATTATTATTTTTTGAACAAAAAATGTTTAGTCTTTTATGTTAACGTAATATTTCCTAGTTTTAGATTTGTTTCTACAAAATCAAATTAAAAAAATGAAGGATGAAAATAATCCACCGACACATATAGTGAGTGATAGTGGTAGTAGTTCACTTCCTTTTACTAAAAATAAAAATAAAAAAGAGTGCACGCAACTGAATAAGTTATAAATTTAAGTCAGTGCAGGTTTAAAAAAAGACCAACAAAAATTAAGTGCGTGCAGATATTGGAGTGAGTAATAATGGATTAGGGATCCGTAAGTTTTAAATTAGAATAAACAAAACCCTTTTTGTTCAGAGAGTAAATCCCAAGTCAATTATTTCATGAGCTCTCTCCTCATCGGCAATGCTGCTCTCTCTCTCTCTCTGCTTTTAATTTTAATTTTTGTTAATCCTCTGTTTACGAGCTCTCGTTTCCCAAGATTTGACGTGATTTATACTACTTAATTCATTTAGCGCTCTCTATCTAAGTAAGTATAGCTTTTAACCACGAAAGAATTATCTATCACCCGTCAAGTGTCCACCCCATAAAGTTTAAAACTCAACTATCAGATCACACCATTAAAAGATAACTGCATTACAGAGGAGCCTTGTCGGAAACCACAAGTGGTTCCGACCAGCAAGGTACATAAACATTAACGATGGACACATAAAAAAAGGGAATAATATATACAGTACCCATCTTCGCCAAAGTGTACATCCAATCCATTTACGTATGGTAAAGTTTGTTTTTAACGTCTTACTTTATTACTTCGAACCAAAGAAAAAGTTACTTTGTCATTTGTCGTATGAACACTTAAAACATTTGTCGCAAAAACATCTTAAATTCTTAATCAAGCCTATATCGCTAGTTTTTGACTATCCATCGTTGGATGAAAACTCGTTTGTTTTCATTTTCGTCACCAAATTGCACTGCTTCGTCTTCATCTAGGCGGTACAAGAACTCGTATATCAGAATTCAGACATACTAAATTATCATCTACAAGGTATAGTTTCCAAGCTATTTCCCAATCAAAGCAGTGGGTGGATGTGAGTAATGGCAAGTTTGTCTAAATGGGGATAGATTAATTTCCTTATCATTTTCAATTTTGAGACAAGTGACTACCGACACATAAAATTACCACGGACAACAAACTAACATGTCCGAACAATAAGTAGCACAAACCATCCCAAAGCTGAGGGCGAAAGAAAATGAAAGCTAGGATTGAATCGACTGATTTGATCGCCTTTGACAATCACCTTTCCTTGTAATGACACTATAAAAACCATATCTACTTATATCTATACAATATACCATATGAACCATTTGAAGATGAGTACTATTATGTTATATGGAGTATTTGACAAAGCTTAAGGACATCTGAGTGAGGCAAAACTGGTCAATCTAAAAGTTTAGCTGTAAATTTATAATTTGAAGTTCTCGAATATAATATTCACCTTTTTCCCATATGTTTTATCTAAATTTACTTGTTGCACACCACCGGTTCAACTATCACCAGTCTAATTCTCGAACCGTTTAGTTTAAACCGGGATAAAATCCAAAACCGGACCCGACAACCTAATTTCAGTGTAACTGTACAGAGTCGCCGCCACTTCACACACAACTCGCACAAAATCATCCCAGCTATGGCGGCAGCAACTCAGCTTCTCTCCCAACCTTCATCTCTCCGTGTAACTCTGAACCAATACCAATTGAATCAAACCTCACTCTCCAGAATCCCAGTTTTGTCTCTTAAATCCTCTTTGAAGCCACTTAAGCGCCTCTCCGTGAAAGCCGCCGCCGTTTCCCAAAACGCCTCCAAAACACTCGCGAAGGAATCTTCTGCGCCTTCGTTCGATCACTGCTTCAAGAAATCATCAGATGGGTTCCTCTATTGCGAAGGAACTAAGGTTGAGGATATCATGGAGTCTGTCGAGAGAAGACCTTTTTACTTATACAGCAAGCCTCAGATCACAAGGAACCTCGAGGCGTATAAAGAAGCATTGGAAGGAGTGAGTTCCGTCATTGGTTACGCTATTAAGGCTAATAACAATCTCAAGATTTTGGAGCATCTCAGGAGTTTGGGCTGTGGTGCTGTGCTCGTCAGTGGAAATGAGCTCAGACTTGCTCTTCGTGCTGGTTTCGATCCCACAAAGTAAGATTCTTTTCAACCCATTGCTCTATATCTAATTTGGGGAGCTTTGCAACTTGGAGTTGACTTTATCCCAATAGTGAAGTCAATGGAATCGACTATTCATAGGAATGATTTGACTTGGTGATGGGATCACTTCTGAATATGTCTTTGTTGGATAAAATGAATAGGTGCATTTTCAATGGAAATGGCAAGTTGTTGGAAGATTTAGTTCTAGCTGCTCAAGAAGGTGTTTTCGTGAATGTCGATAGCGAGTTTGACTTGAATAATATTGTGGAAGCTTCTAGAATTTCTGGTAAGCAGGTCAATGTACTGCTGCGTATCAATCCTGATGTTGATCCTCAGGTATGGTTGAATTTATTTTTGCATCATGTCTGACATAAATGGTCTGCAAAGCTTGGATATGAGTGAGCTTTTCTGTTTGTTTAATTTTTCAGGTGCATCCGTATGTAGCTACTGGGAACAAGAACTCAAAGTTTGGTATCAGGAACGAGAAGCTTCAGTGGTTTCTGGATCAAGTGAAAGCACATCCCAAAGAGCTGCAGCTTGTTGGAGCTCATTGCCATCTAGGCTCTACCATTACAAAGGTAACTCCATTTAGTTGCTTAAGTTGTGGTTTGATGTAATCAGATGAATATGGATTGCCCTCGGTTCCTGTTTTCCATCTTTTCTTTTGCTCCATCTATTAAATCTTGACTCTTGAGTTCTACATATGTGTATATTTTTTGTTGATTCCAGGTGGATATATTCAGAGATGCTGCGGTTCTTATGGTGGAATACATTGATGAAATACGGCGCCAAGGCTTTGAAGTTAGTTACTTGAACATTGGTGGTGGTTTAGGGATAGATTATTATCATGCCGGTGCTGTCCTTCCTACACCCATGGATCTCATCAACACCGTAAGAATAACATCTCAAAAATTCTTTCATTCATCTGATCTCAAAAGTATTGGAATTGGTAGAATATTTTCAATCGTTGATCTGTTTCAGGTAAGAGAGCTTGTTCTTTCACGAGACCTGAATCTAATAATCGAGCCAGGGAGATCTCTGATTGCAAACACTTGCTGTTTCGTCAACCATGTAACTGGTGTGAAGACGAATGGAACTAAAAACTTCATAGTTATTGATGGAAGTATGGCTGAGCTTATCCGTCCCAGTCTTTATGATGCTTATCAGGTAAAAACAAATATGCTACTCACAGCAGCATCTGCATATTTTGGTCCCCTTTGAGCTAAGCTAAACATGCTCTTGTTCTTGTTTCTTAATGCAAAAGCACATTGAATTGGTCTCTCCTCCACCGCCTGAAGCCGAGGTTACCAAATTCGATGTAGTGGGTCCTGTCTGTGAATCTGCTGATTTCTTGGGCAAAGACAGAGAGCTTCCCACTCCTCCACAGGTATTATATAGGACTGAATTTTGTTTAGCAGCTCTAGTAATGTGGAATCTAATGAGTTTATTGAATTCATCACAGGGAGCTGGTCTGGTAGTTCACGACGCTGGTGCATACTGTATGAGCATGGCTTCCACTTATAATCTCAAGATGCGTCCTCCGGAATACTGGGTACCAACACATTTTTTTGTTCTTGTTTTGTGGGGAAATCACAGGAGAAGAATCAAGATCCTGAGAGAAATTGCCATGCATTTTAACTTATTTTCTTCAATTTCTGTTCTTTGTATTCACAGGTTGAAGAAGATGGGTCGATCACTAAGATAAGGCATGCTGAGACATTCGATGACCATTTGCGTTTCTTTGACGGTCTATGATGAATCCTTGACATTTACTCATCATTGTTGCTATTTAGTTGAATTGTATGATTATTCGGAATCAGGATCATAATGCTATTGCTGTTTTTGATTTTCACGCTCTGTGCTTTGATTCAAAATATGAATAAGAAAAGGTGAATTTGTGGGTTATGATTATTTCTTCGTAGTTACTACAAGCCCATAGTAGTCCATAACAAACGACTTGAGAAACTAAATTTAAAGCCAACGCAATGCCAAAGCTATTTCAAACCAGAAACCAAGATTATACAGAACCAACAATGGTTTTAGTGGGATCATGGGTCAAAAATCTATTTAGTAACCCAACAAAATCTGTAATACAAAAATCCAGAAGCATCCGGATGCAAAAAAGAAAAAACTCAAGGAGTCAGAAATGGATGTCAAGGATGGCCTTTGAGATCACCTAATCTGTTTTGGTTTCATCACACAAAAGAAAGAAAAATTCCTCAGGTTTCAAGGAACTCAAAGATCAAAAAGAGAGAGAGAGAGCAGTAAGAAAAATTTACCTATGAAACCGAATGCTTCTATACAAAAGCATAATGGTAAGTAAAAGCGTAGCCACGGCTGAACACAAATGCCCCAGTGAATGCCCACTGATGATATATCGATTCGCATTGTATATTTTGTTGTCTGCAAGTCCTTCAATCTTGGCAATAGTGTAAGCCGCTGCATTCATAATAATCGGAAATTAGAAGAGAGCAGATTCAAACAAGAAAACCGTAAAAATGGCTTCTGATTTTTAAAAAACCTGTAGCCCAGAGCCAGAATCTAGAGTGAGTATACTTGGGAGGTAACAAAACCGTCATGACGGGAATCACCAGACACGGAAGCAACTGGAACGTCATGCATAACCGGAGATCATTAAACACCCTGCCATCAACTAAGACACATAATTTCAATCCGAACCTGACTAAAATCACAAATATACATATGTATAACAGAGGAGGTAATGATTTCTGGTTTGAATGTTACCTGGCGTAAGCAACACTGAGAAATGATGTGAATAGAAGCAAGGCGAGGCAACTTAGTCCCACTGTATCCCCCACTCTCTCAACCAAAAAACTAGAGAAAAGCGACGAATACGCAATCAATATCTGCAATTTACCGTCATTAATCAAGAAACAGCTATTCATAAACATTCCCATTCGATAAACTTAACACCCAAAATCTCTACAGCTTCTATCCATTAAGTATACGAAGGTTCTTTACATGTTTTGTTCACAATGTACTTATAGAAACAACAAAAGAAAGCTAAGTGCAAACATAAAGACTCATCTAAGCTTTCTTTCCATAGCTATAAGAAGAGTTTTTTAAGCTTTTTGTTCACAAATTTGCTTGCAGAGCAAAAGGTTATCAATCAATATCTCCAAGTACGGTGTCATTACTCAAGAAACTGAAAGAAGAAGATTCATTCCAGAAGCTAAAACAAGATACTTCACAGGAAAAGTAAAGGTGAAATTGGTGGGTGAGGAGAAACGAACAGGCAAAGTGTCCCAGACGATTCTGCTGTCATCAGGTTTGAGATGATAAAAGGCAGAACCAAAGGCGAAGCTAGCAATGCCAGCGTAGAACAGTGTCCATCCCCAGATCTCACCTTTCAAACTGCATTACAACAAATCAAAATGTTTAAAACACTAACTAAAACCAAAAACTCAAAAATGTGAAAAGAGAAGAGAGTAATAAGTAACCTTATACTGAAGAAGCTGCCTCCAATGCAAAGCACAAAACCAAGAACCCCAATGATAAGAAAGGGAAAGTTGGTCATCACATTCAATGTATTAGGCACTCCTGTACACAACATCAAGCCCACACAAAACACCTGCTTCTCATTATTACACATGCACACACAAATGGATAGAGAGGAGAGATAGATATAAGATGATGATGATGATGATACCCATGAAATTGCGTTTATCGGCGAAGACATGGTGACGAAAGGAGTCGAGAGGAACTTTGGGAGTGATGAACATGATCATTAGCCAACAGAGAAACGATCCCACCACCAAAATTCGTTTCCTTTTCCATCGTCCGATCTGTTGATCCGTCAACCACACCATTTAACTTCTCTCTCTCTCGAAAAGAATTGTAAAGGTGAAGCCTTTTTTTTTTTTTTTTTTTAGTTTAGTTTTTCTGAAATGGGTTAATCAGTAGTATAACAATAAATACTCTGTTTGTGTCTAATTTGATTAATCTTCTAGCCACCAGGTTAAGAAAAAGAAAAGGGAAAGATGGAGAGTTATTGCTTATGAGTCGCTTTTGTCAAATCTTTCAATTAGAACAACGTGCGGCGGAATCTCTCCTTTTCCCTTATTCTTTGAGGCTGACGGGTACGACGACGACGATCCATTTCTTATGTTGTCGCTGTTGACCAGGACCACTAAACGTCGCCGTTTTGTGTGTGTGTGTTTTTTTTCCTCTTTTACAATCTAAAAGCTCTTAATCTTTCTTAAGAGCATCATTATTGGTAGGCTTTTAATAAAATCTAAAGCTTAAAAAGTTAAGAAAAGGTAAAAAAAATCTCTTATACAAGAGACATATATTAACTTTTCTTAGATTTTCATCACTTTTCTTAACTTAAGAGTTTTTTAATAAACCCTCGATAATCAAGGTCTTATGTGTTTGTTTGTAATTGTATAACTCTCTCCAAGTTTCTGAAACCAAGCTTCTCACAATTCATATCTATCATCTATATGTATACAAGGTTTCAAAAGACTAGAAAGTTTTATTCTGTGACTAGTCTAAAGTACTGCGTATGTTTACTAGTTAGTGTTTCTAAGAGAAAGAAAAGCTAAATGTTGTTGGAGCACTCAGCTCTTAGAAAGTAAACGACAGTGATAGTCATCTTTGAAACACAGCAAAAGTAGGATTAACATGAGACAAAAGTTCAACCTTAATGAGAGCTAAGAGTTGAAAATGCTCTAAATGCTACAAAGAGTATATCAAAACCACTATTATTTTTTTTTACTTTTTCCGCTTTGCTTTTCACTATTGAAGTTTAAAGTTTTTTCAGATTAACACAAAAAACATCTGGACTTAGATTTGGACCTTATTGTTCAACGATAACCTTAAACATGTCGTCGTTCAATAACTTTTCACGTGTTTGGTATAAATATAAATCTGCCTAACCATGACCCAAAATTCTACAGTTATCCAACTATAACCAATAAAATTATAGGTCATCCTATATGTAGGTAGGATACTACTCTGAATTTATACTTAACCAAACCAAGATAATCTTGTACTAATTTCTTTTTTATAAAGAGATACTCAAAAAGTCTTCATCAATACGTTTTTGTATTTCAATAATTATAATCCACAACGTAGTAACTCACATACATGAGACATGTCCAATTCATAATTCATAAACTACAAAGAAAGTTCCTTTTTTAAAGAAAAAGAGACTCTTTACTACGTACGACGTCGACGTGATTCCTGTCCTCCAACCGGCGGTGACGTCATCATTTCCCGGCTTACTCATAGTCATGGGCATTGTTTACAAAATTTAAACTAGTGAGGTGCTAATCAAATATTTATAAAGTACGAGGGGCATTTTGATGTAAAAAAAGATAAGGAGGATTTAGATGAAAATATTTTCATTTGCTTATGTAGGACTCTAGTGTCGTCGATCGTTTCATTTCGAGGAAATTATTTTTCTCTTTAATTTTTTGGAAGAGAGAGAGAGAAGAAGACGGCAGAATGAAGAAAGCTTTTTGATCGGAGGTACTTTATTTTCCGGCGAATTTACTCTCTCTAGGGTTTATTTTTAATCTCCTTTCCTCTCCGTTACTTCTCCTCAGCTCTTCAATCGCAGCTTAAATTTTCTGGGCTAAGTGAATATAATCTGAGGTTCGAAAGTTGTAGTACTTGCTTCGTCGTTTCAGAGAAATTTGCGGAAAGTTTTCGTCTTTTCGAGTCAAAGCTTTGTTTTTTTTTTTTGGGGTTCTGTCTTTTTATTTCCCCCTTTTTTCTCTAATTAAAAATCCCTAGACATATCAAAATTGAAAATTGATCTGAAATCGATTTCGTGGGGTTAATATCAGTTCCGGTTCGGTTCTCTTGTTAAAATATTGATTTCTGTCACTTTCCGCCATGAAAGTTTTCGAATTTTTGTTTCATTTTTGGCTCCAAATTTTTCATCTTTCAAATAATTTAAATCTCGGTGTGCTTTCGTTCCTACTTGTGAATTATCTAGGGCTTCGCTCCTTTTTCTAATTCAAGATCTGTTTTTTTTTTCCTCTCTACAGACTGTCCTTGAGTTTGAGCTAGCGTTTGCAATTTGGAAGACTCGGGATCTGATATATCTCCCGGTGTCTCTGTTTTGTCGGTAGATACAAGGGGTGAAGAGAGCTCCTAGAAGGTAAATTTCAATCCTTTATCATTTATTCTTGTTTTCTGAGGTGAAGTCTAGCTTGTACTTTTGGATGACTAGTTCTTGAGCATTGTGTTTTGGGTAATGAACGTGGAAATTGGGTCAAATTGAAATTGTGGAGTAATTCTATTAGGTTCTGAATCCTGTTGACGTAGGGTGGAAGATTTTTATACTACACCCTGACTTATTCTCACTAAGTTTCTAGTTCATGTTAATAGGGTGGTTTTGATGGAAGACGATGACTCTCCTTCTTCTCGGGATTTAGATGCAAAGAACCCTTATGATCGATTGCTTGCTCTAGATACAAGTACCGTAGATTCAAATGGTAACTTGGATTCGGTTTCTGCTATTTATCTAGCAATGAAGAGCTCAAAGCTGGAATGTGTTGATGAGCGTGGCCAAGATTCCCTTATAACCTCTGTATGCATGGAAGATGAAGAGGATGAGGAACTTGACGAGTTTGATCCTTATCTCTTTATCAAGAACTTGCCCAACTTGTCTTCTGTTGTCCCAACTTTCAGGCCGGTCTTGCTTCCTAAACAAACCCGAAGTTGCCCTCCTATTTCATTAGTCCTAGATCTAGATGGTAAGGCTACCTTTCAGTTTATTTGTTTGTTTGTTGTAGTTTGCTGGTTTTAATGGAACAGAAATATTTTACTCTCACCAAGGCCGTAAAGTATAAATGTTTCTTACAATTATTCGTTTTATCTCTCCATAAAAGAGTTTGATTTCCTTATTTCTGTTATCGCTATAACATATATGTTTTATATTCGCAGAAACTCTTGTGCATTCAACTCTAGAACCATGTGATGAGGTCGATTTCACATTCCCTGTAAATTTTAATGAAGAGGAGCATATGGTGTATGTGAGGTGCCGCCCTCACCTCAAAGAGTTTATGGAGAGAGTGTCCCGTCTTTTTGAGATCATTATCTTTACAGCTAGCCAAAGTATTTATGCGGAGCAACTGCTAAACGTGCTTGACCCGAAGAGAAAGCTCTTCCGCCATAGAGTGTATCGTGACTCCTGTGTTTTCTTTGATGGTAACTACCTAAAAGATTTGTCAGTCCTTGGGCGTGATTTATCTCGTGTTATCATCGTCGACAACTCTCCACAGGTATATAACTCATCATCCCACTACACAGTGAGGATACACATTGTATAACCAATTAAACCAAAGCTGATAGGTAGATGCTTTTATCAGTGATAAGTGTAGGATACATTTTTAGTATAGGATGATTTCAATAACTATGAAAGATGGTATGAACGAATTTAGTATTAGTTGGTTTGCAAAAGCTTTCTGAAACTATGAAGTTGTGTGGGATTAATTCAACAAAGTGTATTTGAGACTGTACCTGCAACCGCCATTAAGAATGATTCTATCTAAAGGCTGTTGCATAATCTTGTATGATGAAGAATCTTGTCTTGAGTTCTTCTATTTGTGCAATGGTGTAGGCATTTGGGTTCCAAGTGGAGAATGGAGTGCCAATAGAGAGCTGGTTTAATGACCCGTCGGATAAAGAACTCCTAAATTTGCTCCCATTTCTTGAAAGCTTAATTGGAGTTGAAGATGTAAGGCCGATGCTCGCCAAGAAATTCAATCTAAGGGAAAAGATTGATGCAGCTGTAGCAGCACCGGAATATCCTGCTGAGGCGGGAGATCCATTCGAAAGGTAAAAAAAATCATTCACAGAAAGCTTGAAGGCAGAATCTGGCAAAAGAGCTGCCTGCGGGGTTACAGATTTCTGAAAAGGAGAAAGACTTGCTCTTAAAAGAGGATGATGCTTTGGGAAAGCTTAATGGAAGTGTTTGGTTCCTAATTAATTAGGCTTGGAAGGGATCAGAGAAGCTGAAGATATATATATGAAGTATATTAATGTTGTTTTCTTATTAGTTTAAACTAAGAACTTGGTATACGGAGAAGACAGGATAGCCTGTAAACAAGTTTCATGCACAATAACTGTAATTTTCTGGTTTATTTACTACTACTCTCGTACACATAGATTTACATTTGCAATAGAGATGGCTTTTTTTGGCCAAACAAATAAGAGAGCAGTAAAAGATAAATGAGTTTTAAGGGTCTAATGAGGATCATAATCTCAATCCAGTGGTGTCGATTGTATTGTTTTCAACAAATCCAACAACAATGTGCCACTAATTTATGGAGATATCCAATTAAACTGCACTAGACTAGTGTGACTAAAAATTCAACAGCGACTATTCCGATAGTCCATGATCATAGATAGCTCTTGAAAGAAAAAGTCTTTAGTTCCATATTTGATTATGTTTAGGCACTTATTAGCGTCTAATTTTACATTGGCTAAATTATACGTATTTCTGATTATTGTTGGACGAGCGGGATAATTATGGAAACTTGTTTAGCCAATGGCCATGTCGAATAAAAGTGTTTGATATTTTTAATAACCAAAACATAAAAAATAAAAGAAGTTTCCAAGTAAAAAAAAAAACTCAAAAGAGGGATAGTCAAAGCTAATTCTGACCAAGTGGAGGGAGGAGGAAGGAAGCTTGAAGACGAAGAGTGCGCATTTTAATCGAATCTACTTTTTCGAAGATATCGGCGCAGGTTAAGTTAATCTCTCTCTCTATTTTATCTATACTATTAATTGGGAAGAACAACTTAAAGCCAAACACCCCCAATTTTAAAAAAAAAATTTCATGAAAATAAAACCAGTTGCCAAACAGAACTAATGACAGCGAAAAAAAAAAAAACCAAAAACAAAAATTATCTATATTTATGGAAATCATAATAATATTTTACCATAAAAAGTGGACAGTTAAATTCAAAATTAAATATATGTTAACATATCTATTTTGAATATACATAAACATATTTAATATTAATTTAATATTTTAATATAATTTCGAAATTAATAATTTACAAATGAAATCTAATAAAACAAAATCATCATATATCTAAAAAAACAAAGATAACATTTTTTTAGAAAAATAAAAAGATAAAAAATATGTTAGCATATGAAATAATCAACTAATCAAATTCTACATAGTATATATACATAACTGATCATATCATCAAATTTTTTAAAAATATATAATTTTAAATAAAAATAAAATTTAAATAAATCAATAATTAAATATTTGTTTGCTAAAATCATGCGAATAAACATTCTAGATCGCAAAAATTTCTTATTTTACATAAAAATATTCATATTCAAAAAGCAATCTAGCAATTATAGCACAAAAGATATCTACAAAATTTATCATTAATTCAATTAGTTAATGATTTTTTATTTGGTCAAACAGTTAGTTAATGATTATTCTAAACTTCTTTTTTCTTATTAATTTCACACAATCTTAACAAAATAAATCTTCATCCATTGGCAATTTTCATATCATTACTATTATCAAATATTAAATAATTGTTTTATCAAATCATAAACTACATTTTGAGATTATAAACATATAGAATTTCTATTAAGATTAAAACTAAATAACAAGAGGATATATCACATTTAAATTATTTTAATGACTTATTACCAATTTTTAAATAATAAATGGATTATATTTTATGATTTAATCTAATTGAAAACAAATAAATGAAAGTTTGTGGTTGCCATGACTTGTATAATCTACTTTTGGACGATTATATGAAATTTTACATATATTAAAATTATATTTAGTTACATGTAAATGGTGTTATTTATTAAAAAAATTTATAAACTTATAGGAATGAATACGAGATGGGAACATATAATTCGAAAACAAACATTATCTGAATTATTTCTCATAAAAAAAACATGATTAGATATAATTGTTATGAGACACGGTCATAAAGTTAAATTCACTTTCAACTATCAAATAGAAAACTACGAGTACGATACAAAGACATGTAATTTAAATTGCTAAATTTAAATTCCACTTTCCTATGTATTTCAAATATTTAGACATGAAATGACGGGTACAAGAATATAACGTATACTTCGGATAACAAAACTACAATAAATCCATGTATTAAAAAAATAGAAATACCTAAATCTTTAGAAAACAAAAAGGCTAAAACATGAATCTTTGAATTGAAGAAAGTAATGAGAAATAAAGATGAAACTTAAAGATCAATAAAATTAAAAATCGAACAAGGATTCTGTATGCTAGGATTACAGACAGTGCCTTGTGAATGAAAATGGTGGGAGCATGTGACTTAGATTGATAATTAGATTTTTATTAGTTTGATAAAAATAAATATTTAAACGAGGAATACGGGTATCCCGTCTAAATCTTTTACCAAGTTTCTTATAATAAACATTGGCAAATGATGATGTTTTAAAAAGAAATGATTATGGGACAGGACGGGTCAGGACGAAACGGAAAGAGACAGGACGGGTTTTCCATTATAAACTACACATAAAACAATTCAAACTAAAGCCAAACCCAAATCCGATTTAACATCTCTAAGCAAACAGTTATAAATGAACACGTAATATCACTTATCATTTTCATTTAAATAATTTTAAAATTGTATTATGTATTCATTTTGTTGTTTTACAACTGTATGTCTATATATAGTTTATCAAATAAACTCATATAACAAAACTTTACCAAAATAACATCTACTTAAAAAATCGTAATTTTGTAAAAATAACCTCGCACGTACGTGCGCGTCGATCACTAGTTTATGTTAAAACTGTGGAACTCTCTCTCTCTCTATTTGTTTTGTTTGTTTGTTTACGAAGGACGCATTTATTTATTTATTTCTCTTTAATTAAATTTTGTTTTGTTCCACTGCCAATATTATTATTATTCGCATTTATTTTTGGACAAGAAAATACCAAAAAAAAATATAGCGAAAGGAAGCTTCATTGTTTTTAGAGAGAGAGAGAGATAAACTGGAGGTTTTTAGAGAGAGAAAGAGCAAGAGAGAGATCAGTTCGTCGTTGACGATCGATGTCGAAGATGAAGCATCTTCTACGGAAGCTACACATCGGCGGTAGTAGTGGCGTCGGCGGCGGATTTGGTGACCATCATAGGTTAGACGATTCCACTAGGCCCATGATCGATCCTAGCCCTATTCCTAGTACTAGCCCTAGCCCCGCCTCTACTTCCTCCGTCTCTTCCTCCTCCGGTTTTGGCGCCAACGCCTCCGCCACAATGCCGAGACTGGAGACATTAGAGCCTGTAGGCCGTGATCTGGCGCCTGTTGATGGTGTCGATTTCAATTTGATGGAGGAGGAGTATCAAGTCCAGTTAGCTATGGCGATCAGCGTCTCTGATCCTGATCCGCGTGAGAATGCAGATACGGCTCAGCTTGATGCCGCTAAGCGGATTAGCCTTGGTGTTTCTGCTCCGGTCACAGACGCTGATTCCGCCGTTGACTTTCTCTCCCTCCGCTATTGGGTATTTATATACACTTTATTCATCACTCTTGCTTCGGTTACTTTTCTCTAGCTCCTATGGGCTTTGGCGGGTTTTAGGGAGTCTGATCATTCGATTAGCCCAGGGTTTAGAGGACAAATAGGATCTTCCTGCAATTCGTTACTGCTACTGCTTACACTCTTCTCGTGGATGCCAGTATTCTTTTTGAGTCCAGATTGTATAACTTTCCATTTTTAGGTTGGAGTTACCGAGGTTTATTCAATGTGGATGGTTTCAGCCTTGATTGTGACAATGGGAGACTTTAGCTGATCGTGTGCTCTTGTTTGTTTTTTCCTGTAGGGACATAAGGTTATTAATTATGACCAGAAAGTCAGGGATGGTTTTTACGATGTGTATGGGATTACATCTAATTCTCTTTCACAAGGGAAGATGCCACTTCTTGTGGATCTTCAGGCGATCTCTATTTCAGACAATGTTGATTATGAGGTCATTTTGGTTAACCGATTGATTGATCCTGAACTACAAGAGCTAGAGAGGAGAGCATCCTCTTTGGCTGCCGAATGTCCAGACTTTGCTCGTGGTCAGGTGTCAAGTGATTTAACTCAGAAAATTGCAAATATAGTTGTACAGCAAATGGGTGGCCCCGTTGAAAATGCTGATGAAGCATTGAGAAGGTGGATGCTTCGTAGCTGTGAACTAAGGAATTCGTTGAACACTACAATTCTTCCACTTGGACGAGTTAATGTTGGTCTTGCACGCCACAGGGCTTTGCTTTTCAAGGTTATAACAAATCATCATCTCTCTTGTTTTTAGCTTTGGTCATGGTTAGGAGCTGTAGGGTGAAGCTAACTAATCCCTTCTTCTTTTTTCTAGGTCCTTGCTGATAGGATTAATCTCCCATGTATGCTGGTAAAAGGCAGCTACTACACTGGAACTGATGATGGGGCAGTGAACTTGATTAAGCTAGATGACAAAAGGTATTCTTTGATTGCTGTAATCTGCTGCCTTATGTTTGCATTCTAGAGTCCTGATATTGGGCTCAGTTTGTATGTGATGGTGTGATTTTTGCAAGGACCTAATTCATTCTTCATATGCAGTGAATACATTATTGATCTAATGGGTGCTCCGGGTGCTCTGATTCCTGCTGAGGTTCCAAGCAGTTTTCTTCCAGTTTCTTGCACAGATACAAGAGTATTTCCTGAGGACCTGGACTTGTTGCAGCATTCAACCCCTGAAGTTGAGAAAGAAATTAAAACGCCAGCATTAACAGTATTGGGGGAAGCAGATTCCAGATCTTGTATGATGGCAAACTTCTTCTCTGGAAACCATGAAGAAAACAGTGACAGATATGCAGTTGAAAAACATCAAACAGAGAGATTTGAGCATGATTTTGGAAAGCTAATGCAATCACAGCAGATATCTGGTGAAAATTTGCCTCCATTTTCTGGGAAACCAACATGTGCTCAGAAAGTTAAAGTTAAGAATGTCTCAAAGTATGTCATAAGTGCAGCAAAGAACCCTGAATTTGCGCAGAAATTACATGCTGTCTTGTTGGAAAGTGGTGCATCACCTCCTCCAGATTTGTTTATGGATATTAACCCGCACAACTTGAGGGGGAAGAATTTGCTTCAAGAAGTCCGCCAAGAAAATAGGGATTCTGTGGTTTCTGGTGGTCCATGTTACCCGGAGAAGGTATCCTTAGGATACATATCATTTCATATCCTGCACAACTGTATTCATTCTTTTCTACGTGCCTTAATAACATATCTAAGACTCTGTAAGTCTTTAATTATTGCATCTGCACTGAATAGGTCGCAGATCATTTAGCTGAACAACTGAGAGAATCTGAAAGGAACCCCACAGCTGAGACTTACCAACCATCAGTGGAGGTCGATTTGTCAATGAAGAGAAACTTTGATGTGGATAATATTGGTAAAGTTTCCACATCCGAAAATATGGAAACTGGTACTGCTGATGTGGAGTCTAGTCTGTGTGATAGTCATGACCAAGGAATTAATCCGTTGCTCGGCGAAGCTGCAAAGTGGGAAATTATGTGGGAAGATCTTCAGATCGGCGAGCGCATTGGTATTGGTAAGGTTTGGTGATTGGTCTATCAGATAGATATAAGATTCACTAGTATCATACATTATCAACTGAAGTTGTAGCCGTGATAGACTTTTGATGAAGCTTGTTTTTACTAATTGTTACTACCCTTATGTTTGTTGATAAGATTTTTACATCCAAACCATTCAGTTTGATACACCAGACTAGATCCTTATGATCCCAAATTATAAGATTTAATGTATTCGTTCTTGTGCTGTTTCTGTTGCAGGTTCCTATGGAGAAGTTTATCGTGCAGAGTGGAATGGAACTGTGAGTTATGTTTTGTAGTCTTAATTCACCATCCTTGCAATGTTCTTTAATCTGCAGCTTCTAAACCTCTCCACATTTCCGCCCAATGAAGAGAAGTGCAATTTTAGTCATGGAGTTCTTGTACTGATTGTGTTTTCCCTTTCAGGAAGTGGCTGTTAAGAAGTTTCTGGATCAAGATTTCTCTGGTGATGCATTGACACAGTTCAAATCTGAAGTAACTCCAAATCATTTAACCATATACTTCTTATTCTTTGTATTACCTGCAAACTGTTTAATCATATACTTGATTGTTTTTATTTTGTTCCAATAGATTGAAATTATGTTGAGGTTACGCCATCCAAATGTTGTTCTTTTCATGGGAGCAGTTACTCGGCCGCCAAATTTCTCCATTCTGACAGAATTCCTACCCAGGTTTGATCCTCTGACATTCTTCTTTTGTATTCGTGAATGCATATAGTCCTCCTTTATACATAGAGTAATCCTTTTCTGACCACGAGGTTTTTGGTTGTTGTTTTCAGTTTTCTTTATTCTTCTTAATGGGTTAAAATTTTATGAAATTATGCAGGGGAAGTTTGTATAGGTTACTCCATCGGCCAAATCATCAGCTTGATGAGAAGAGGCGAATGCGAATGGCTCTTGATGTGGTATAAATGAGTTGCTCTGGTTAAAAGGAATGATGTTAAAAGTTACAGCTATATTGCTAAAAATATCTGACACTTGTTTTCTTTCTGATGGTATTGCAGGCGAAAGGAATGAACTACTTACATACCAGTAATCCGACTGTTGTACATAGGGATTTAAAGTCTCCAAACCTTCTTGTTGATAAAAATTGGGTTGTGAAGGTTTGTGATTTTGGATTGTCCCGCATGAAACACCACACGTATTTGTCCTCAAAATCAACTGCAGGAACGGTTAGTTATTTACCTGAAATGAATATATTACTTATTTCTCAATCATGAACTTTGTGTTGCAAAGATAAGTTGAGCAACTTACTAGATAAGATGTCCTGTTAATGAGTGTGCAGCCTGAGTGGATGGCTCCAGAAGTGTTGAGGAATGAACCGGCTAATGAGAAGTGAGTGAATTAACACTAAGTATGAGCATCATTTTAAATGTTAATACCGAAAGATTGACTGGTGTGCTTGCACAGATGTGACGTGTACAGCTTTGGTGTTATATTGTGGGAATTAGCTACTTCACGCGTCCCCTGGAAAGGGTTGAACCCGATGCAAGTCGTTGGAGCTGTGGGATTCCAGAATCGGCGCCTTGAAATCCCAGATGATATCGATCCAACTGTTGCACAGATAATCCGTGAATGTTGGCAAACGTAAGTTCATATTCATAATTCAAATCCGTAAATTTTAGTCAAAGTAATTCAGTACTCCTTATTAGAGATGTTATGATTCATGTTTCGATACCCTGAACCATATGATTAGCTTTATAGTGCTAAAACCATCACTATAGAAACAAGTAAAAATTCGTTGAAGTGGGTCGATTGACACACAATATTAGGTGGGGGTTAAGCTTATGATTGTTATGCAGGGAACCGCATTTACGGCCATCGTTTACACAACTGATGCGAAGCTTGAAGCGGTTTCAGGGTCTAAACATAAGCAACAGAGGGAACACGAGTGAAAGTTTGATGTAAGATAAGTAGATAGAAGCTGTTGCTTTCACCTGGTCTGGTTCGAAGAGCCAATGGGTGAGGGGGATTGCCATTTTCTTTTTCTTTGCGTTTTTTTATCTTTCTCATTTTGTTTTTACGGTCGGGCGAGACGAAAGAATACAAAAGATTTGACGGGTAGGGGAAAAAGCTTGTGGAGTTCAATCGAAGTGGGAGCTCAACAACAACAACAAAAAAAAAGAAAAAAAAAAGCCCTATTTTAAACACCCCTTTGTAACTATTATTATTATCATCATCATTGTTGCTACTTGTAACGATAAAAATTAGGTAAATGAACAAGAAAAATAGAAATGAAAAAAAAAAAAAGAATGCAATAAGGAAATGAAGTTCCTTCTTTTCTTGGTTTGGGATTTGGCCCCAAAATCTGTTTCAAGTGTAAAAACATACAGAGTATAGGGGGGACTGTTGTAACTTGTAAGAGCTGATGAAAAGCTGCTTAATTCCAAATGTAAAAACTACATTTTCTTACTGGTAAAGAAATCTCACAATACAGTATTTTCCGGTTAAAAATGAGTTTTACTGCTTTGTTTCGCTTATTCAAACTTTGTTCGTTCTTCCTACCGTAGAGTAGTCTGTATATTTTGAAGTGCGGAGAGAGAGAGAGACTTATAAAAACTGAAATCGGAAAAACAAAAGCCAAACGAAGCTTCGATGGCTGCTACAGTTCTCCGCCATTTCAGCCCAATTTCATCCTCCCTTAAACCACCGTCTCGTCACCGCCGATTCCTACACCACAATTTGTTACTCCCCAAAATACCCTTTCCCTCTTCTTTCATCAAATTCGGCGCCGAGAACTCCGAGCCCCAACCTCCACCGCCGTTGCCGGAAGCCGATTGTCCCGTTCCGCCGGAGCAACAGCCGATCAACGAGTACCAATCACTCTCCACCTCTTTCCCTTTCTCCTGGGCTTCAGGAGATCTAGTCGAGTACTCCTCCAGGCTCTTCGTCACCGGCGCTTCTTTCGCGTTTTTCATTGGATTACCCGTTTGCTGGTTCGGATCCGTCGGACCCGAGTACGAACCTGTTAAGAGGATTCTCGCTGCCAGCTCAAGCGGGATCTTCGTTGTCACGCTTGCTGTCGTAAGGATGTATCTCGGTTGGGCTTATGTCGGAAATCGTCTTCTTAGCGCCACTGTTGAATGTATGTTTCTCCCCAACTCATCCGTTTCTGCAAGTTAGCTAAACAACATCATCTAAATTGAGTTTCTTATCTAATCGAATTTGGTTTGATTCTAAAGTTTTCGTTTTTCTTGGCAATCTATTGCATAAGTTTGGTTTAACTCTTACAAAGTTGTTAATAAGGTTTCTTGCATACTTACGTGTTTTGCTTGGCGACGTTTTGATAAGCTCAAGAACTGTTTAGTTTGCTCCTTTGGTTTTTGAATTTTCTCTTTCTTCTGTCATTGCAGATGAAGAAACTGGGTGGTATGATGGTCAGGTTATGATTCTTCTCTCTATATTGGTAGAAGGAACACCTTTGTTTGGTTAATCTAAGCTTTCATTATTATGGATTCTTCAACAGGTTTGGGTGAAAACACCTGAAGTCTTGGCACGCGACCGTCTTCTTGGATCTTTCTCGGTAAGCTTAGCTTTTAAATCCTTGAATTTGATTTGTATTGCTCCACTGTATGTTCAAACTCTGTCGTCGTTCAGGGTTTTTCTTCAAAAGTTTATGTTTTGTGTTGTTTCAGGTAAAACCAGTCCTCGCCCGATTGAAAAACACGCTAGTGATTCTCGGATTATTGCTCATTCTTGTCATAAACCTTGGTGATTCTCCATTTGCATTGTCTTATAGAACATATAAGGATCCTAGGGACAGGTCCTCCCTGCCGATCCCAGGAGCTTACAATGATGAAACCGCAAGAACATTCGAACCAGAAGCTTTCTGCGGTGAACCTGGTGAATCTTCCGCTGATCTTCTTTGAAAAGTTCTTCATCTCAACAGAAAGACATACAGTCGCTGATAGTAAATATACATCTGTACATTCCTGTATATTTCGTTAAATTGGATGTAGAAGACAAAACCAATCTTGATGAATCGAAAAACTCATTACTAGGTTTGGCATCTAGCTCTTACGGTTCAGATTCAAACTAATACTTTCTAACTTTCTCGACGAGGCCATTTCGATTTTTAAAAGATGTCACATTCATCTCTAAAACTATCATTGTTTTCCTGCAGAATGTCCTCCAAGAAATTGAACTTGTTACCTCATATATATTTCAATTCTGTGTGAATAAACTCATGTGATGCAAAGTATCATATTGTATATTCCATATAGATATCAACAATGCATTTGTGGGCTTCTGGAAGGAGTTTTAGTGAGTCAATTTGATAAGTCAGCTTTGAGAACTTGGAAAACAATTTCAGGAGATAAAAATGTCCGAGTCAAACACACAAGATTAGTATATTGTAACAAACATAACTAATTATCGTCATTTCTATTATCGTCCGATCACATCAGCAAAATATAGCTTGGTTGTATTTTATATATATATATATATATATATATATATAACTAAACAACCCGAGAGAGAGGAGAGAGAGTGTCTGAATAAGAAAATGGCTGAGAAAATGAAAGCCCTAGTGATATTGTGTCTTGTCTCCCAAGTAATCATTCTAACCGTAAACGCAGCTGATACAGAAGATGTTGATTTCTCAATACTCATAAAAAACGAAATGTTCAATGTTAAAACCCCTTCGGTATTCTACAATTGCCGATCATCAAAGAAAAACATCGGATGGCACAAATCGGTTCCATCCTCAGAGTTTCAATGGGCATTCGAAGTTCCTCAGTTTGGTAATGGCGTGATGGTTCATAAATGTCGTTTCCGGTCGAGCTTAGGAACAGCAAACGTCGAGATCAGGACCTTGTCTACTACGGCGATGCTATGCGACGGGCAAACGTGTAAATACGCAATTAGACCTAATGGGGTTTATTTCATTGGTTACGAGTTGTATTCCCCTCATGCTATATTTGGAAGGTTTTTTGAGTTTTCGAGGCCCGTGGAGAAGCTAGTTGAGCCGTGGAAACCTTGGTCACCACAACAACTCAAAAGTTATGCACGGTACAATGCATCCAGAGCTGGATTCGGATCGAGAGACTGATGACTGAGAGATCCTTGCTCAGTTGCACAGTTGCACTACATTACATCGATAAGTTAATTAGTAGCCTGATCATCATGAGGTCGTTGAGGAGCTTTGGTTTGTGGAAATATGAAGGGATCGGGTAAGAGACTGGTAACTGCGATTTACGTGAAGGTTCGCAGAATTAAGAAAGCCTATATAATAATAGACCCAAGACTCCTTAATTATATATACAAGATTTGTAGCAGTGAACTGTACTGATATTAATATCATTGGTCTTTCGCATTTCCTTGTATCAACAATATATCAAGATTTGTAACCATTATTTGTATGTTTGGTTCGATCGTCAAATTTAAAGATTACTGTTTAATTTTTGTTTCATCTTCTTATTCCGGAACTACATACATGAAGAAATAGATTGAATACGTAAGACGCACAAAACTTATACCGAATGCACCAAAATAACATAGTATAGGGATGATGGATTCAATGATGATGAGGGATGATAATTTGTGGGCAGTAGCACATGATAAGTGATAACCTAGAGTGTCTAGAGTCAACGTGAAGGTAAAAGATTTAAAGACTCTAAGAATTCACTGTTTATGTTTTGTCAAATGTACACAGCATGGATGCTAGTGATTAATTTGTTATTGTTAATGTAAAAGAAAATTCTAAAAACCAAAAAAGTAGTGTTTAACAACATACTGGTTTAACTGATCTATAGACCCGGTTTCATTTTTCCCATATCTAAATCAAAACTATGGGAAAGGACTGTTAAATATTACCTCAAAAGCTCAAATTATCTAAAAACGAAAAAAGCTAAGCAAAAAATCTAAATTAGAACCTGGAACAGCGTGACAAAATGCAACAGAATTGTCATATTTACAAAGCTAATTATATGGGTAAAACATTATTATTTCCTTATAACAGAGGTTTGTTGTTAAACTTCACAGCGAAGGTTTGTTGTTAAACTTGTTTAAGAAAACTAAAAATGGAAAATAGGGACCGTTATTTTGTTGTCAAACAACAACCAACCGCTCCCGTTTTATATAAAACCCCAAAACCCAAAGCAGAACTGTTCAAGAGAGCAATCGAGTTTGGATTCAAGATGGGATCAACGTTCCGATTAGCCACCGCATTCACGTGGTGCCTTCTCGTAGCATCAGCATGCTTTCCATCCACCACATCAGCAGCCCGGTTCGAGGTAAGAAACGAGATCGCCAGACACCCAGGACGTAACCGGAGCCTCGCAATTAACTGTTGGTCGTCGAATAACAAATTGGGCATGCATGCTCTCAAACCGGGCCAAGCCAAAAGCTGGTCGTTCAAGCCAGTTTTTCTCAAGATACCCTTTTTCTACACATACTTTGAGTGCACGTTCTTCACCGCTTTTGGCTCGCCATATGGGCAGACCGCACCGGTTTTTGCCGGGGAGAGATTATTCAGGTGGAAATGCGATAATCCGGACGAGGAAGTGTGCATTTGGGTGGTGAAGAGAGATGGGCTATATCTACGGAAGATCACAAGAGACGATAAAGGCCAAAAGCTCTATGGAGACGAATTGACAATGGTTTGGATTGGCGGTACTAACTACCACCCGGTACAAGAGGATCCATAATTTTAATACCTCTACGCCCGTTTCAGGGTATACATCAAATCTCTATTTCTTGTGTGTATGAAACGGATATCAAGATACAGAATTAGAAGAAAATGAACACAGCTTTTGTTTCTTCCTTTTATGTAAAGTTAGCAAATCTGAGATCAATCCACAATCAACTCCCAACAGGAAAGAATATGAATTCATCCAGACTTCAATTATTACAGTTAAAGAACCTGAAATTCCATTTTTGCTCAAGCTCCATATTTTGGGGCCTTCCAAAGTTTGAAAGCAACTTCATGGATGAACCGATCAGCCGGTATAACAAGATTTCCACAGAGCTATGAAATAAGAGAAAAATAAAAACTTGAGACAAATCATGTTGAACATAAAGGCAGACCTTGCATTAAAGAGAAACCATACCTTTTTAAGAGCTTCAAATGATAATGTATCAACCAAGTCTTTCCGGGTCACAGCATGCTGCCACTGAGCTACCAACATAGGACAGTATTGCCTGTAGGTTGCAAGAATGACCAAATCCATCAAGAACGAAATGATAACTCTTGTTACCTTTTAATCAAAATCTTTTCAATATTCAATCTCTTCTTACCGAACATCATCTCGTGTCTTTTCACCTCGCATGGTGTAGCTCTGACGCGGTATAAGTCCTGCCAATGCCGGGTTCATGTCTTGTTGTGGAGTATTGACAGCAAAAACTGCAGCATCTTTGTCTGTGACAGAACCATAGCTAAGAACAACAGACAGATGCAAGCGTGGTACAATCTCTGAACCAGGTTGAGCCATTTTCATAATACTACCAATCAAAGAGTCGATAATTCCCAAGTTGTTTTCATCAACCCCGATATGCACAAAAACAGAGTCGTATAGGCTCACATCCAAGCAGTTTCCTCCTTCAAATCCAAGCAGCCTTAGTAATTTAGATGCTGTAGCATCAGAAGGAATGGAGTCACTCTTTTGGGATATTTCGCTAAATTGAAATACATCTAAGCCAATCAATTTTCCGAAAGAACTCAGAGTAGAACTGTCTGTTACTAAAGCAGCCTTGAGTCCCATAAACCTGCACCATAATATTTGTGTTAGTGACATGTATGTAAAAAACTAGCATCATCAAATGATTATACTACTGGCTATTGATTATCGAAAAGGGTACAAAAACTACACATATCAGATGACAAACCTTTCAGCTAAAGTTGGGATTTCGTTGTCATTTCCCTTTGGTTTTAGTCCACTCTGTAAAAGAAACAAATCATGGATTGTTAACCTCCTCTAGTGTAACCACACGAATATCAATACACACTCAATCACGGCTCACACAGAACTATGTTTAAGAGAGTGAAGAATCTCACAGCTACGTTATAAGCTTCTGACGCATCCAACAAATGGGAGAATTCTCGAACTACCCTTTCGTTCTCAGTTTCTGCAAATTAAAAAACAGCATAGTTAATATAACTCACAAGCAGAAAGTCAAAGCACAAGCAATGAAACACAAGTGAGCTCAAATCTTAGATTCTTAAGAAATTGGGTCGAATTTAAATTTTCTATCTCCTTCGATACAAATGACACTGGGTTGGCCAGTTAAATCAATTCAGCTAAAAGGTCAATGAAGTTTCAGTCTCAATCGAATCTAAACGATCATGTCGTAAATGGTTCAATTCTGATCAACAGTAAGAATCCGCACTTAAACAGGAAGAAATCGAATAAGTGAAAACGCGTAAAGCACCGATTTTTATCAAAAATTCTAGAGGAATCAAACGAAAGTAACCAAATTTTATGAAGATAGTGAGAGAGAGACCTGGGGGAGCATGAGGAAGGCTCAGAAAGCCACAGCTAGCCACGGAAGCGAGAGAATGGATGTGGGTTTTTGACGGATCGACGAATCGAGCCAAGCCGTCTCCGTACAATACCAACGCTCTGCTTGGTTTGTCCGCCATTGTTGTCAAAGGAGGAGAGATTGTGAGGAAAGAAAGAGAGAGTGGGGAATATATATATATATGTATTTCCTATATATATTTTTCCTTTGTTGTATATTATTTTCATAAATAAATTTATAATGCAATTAGATAATTCATTCACCCATTAACAATAAAATAAAATAATGTGTACATATTTAAGAGTCACATAAAAAAAATGAAAAGAAAATATGTATGTGTTTTTTTTTTGTCCTAATCGAAAGCATAATAAACAAGAAAGACCCATTTCATTATTAATCTCCCACATGGTGCAGTTTACAACACAACATCATCCGATAATTAAATTTTGAATACAATCCCTTATAAATAAATACTATACTGTATATAGTAAAAGTAATATAAACTAAAGTCTATATGTAGAGATGTAATGTATGAACTATGGACTAGTTGTTGACCACAGCACTGCAGCAGCAAATCTCTCTTTCCCACTTGCCCCCACTCTCCGGATCGACAGACTCACTCACGACGGTTCACCGGTTCTTCTCCTAACCGTTTTCACCTGACCGGTTTAATCCAGAACCAGCTCTTCTGCCATGGTGGAAGGAGGAGGAGGAGGAGGAGGAAGAAGAAGAAGATCCTCTCAAGTCGCTCTCCTCTTACTTTTACTCTCACTCTTTCTCTGCTTCTCCCTCGCCTCTCCTCGAGCTCTCTCTGACTCGGATCTGTTTGAAGAACCCGCCTTCAACTCCTCCTCCGTCGTCGCATCTCTCAACGGTTCTTCTTCTCTTGTTAAGCCCAAGGAAGGTAGCTTCGCCGACATCATCGATCGTGCTCTCGAGAAAGAGTTCAACGAGAGCGACCAGAATGAAGGTATACTCTTTCTTACCTTTACCTTTTCCTACTTTTTTGAATTGGCCGTGGAAACTCGAATTGGTCTAGTTTCTGAAAATTCTGTTTCTCGTGTTTGACTGATTGATTCAAATTCATGAGTTAGATCCTGAATTGGATCCGTGATCCATGGCCGATTTGGAACTTAGATGGATCCCCACATTCATCTTTCCTTTTTGGGTTCTTACGTGATCTCCCAATGTAGTAGAAATAGTATGTGCTTCTTCTAGATCGAGAGTAATTACATAACGAGATACATTTTCTGATTGGTTTCCTGAAATGGGATAGTGCGTCTTTCTATCTTGTCTTCTTACCCTTTACTCAAAATTTTGTTATTTTCTGATCTTGTTGTTATAATCGTGGCAGTGGCTGATCCTGGAAGCTTCAACAACAGCGTAGCTGGACAGCAGGTTGGTTTAATACTATAATCTGTGTGGCTGTTTAATCATGTCCTTATTAACATATGCAAATTTTGGAATTAGAGAAGATCTTTTTTTCTTTTTGCTATATAAGTTAGTTGGACACTTTCAAGTTCTTCTTTATAGGAAATTCAAGCAGTTTTTAAAACACTCCTATGTCTTGTACTTGGAATTATAGTAAATGCTTGCTTTAGATTTTGGCCATTTCTCTCATTAATTGCATAAGATGTGTATCTGAATGTGAGGTTGGTTGTTGACCTTCTGGTGATCAGGCTGTTCTGGAAACTGTAGCCAGAGTAAAGTCAACAAAGAAAAATGAGACAAAAGAGGAGAAGTACACTATTCAATTCTACTTATCGTTTCTATTCCTAAAATTCCCTTTTGATGACCTTTTATGATGTTCTGTTATTCAAGACGTATTAAGAGTTATCTAATTTACCGTAGGCATTTTCAACTCCATGACGTTTTCAACTTGAACAATGATAACAGAGCTGAGGACACTCCAACTCTGATTGATCGAAAAGTAAGTTTTTGCACAAAGACTGGGTTTGGATTTTTTGTATTAGTTCTTACATGGCAATTTTCGCGTTGTTGCAGGACAATGTCTTCATCATATCCAATTCCAAATCAAAATATCCTGTATTGCAGCTAGACTTGAGGCAAGATTCTTGGTTTTAAGTCATTTGTTCCAACATTATTCTTTCAAAGCAAGACTCTGCTATCCGTAATTAGTCATCTGACTTTGCTTCTTATGCCATCGACAGACTAATATCAGACCTGGTGGTTGTTATTGTCTCTGCAACTTGCGGTGGTATCGCGTTTGCTTGTGCTGGACAGCCGGTCTGATTTTCATGCTACTCCTATTCTCTTACATTATGAATTTAGGTTAAGTATGATGTCCCGGTTTTCTGATAGTTGTGAAACGTTTTGTGCTTATGCAGGTGATAACCGGATATTTGCTAGCAGGATCTATCATTGGGCCTGGAGGATTGAACTTCATCAGTGAGATGGTCCAGGTATGCTATGTGTTTGACCTCAAAAGATTTGAGTCTTTCGTTCTGTCCCTATAACTTTGGCTGAGAGATTTCTTTAAAGGTCTCAAATGCTTCCTTTTATAAACTATTTTTTTCTGATTGCACACGAGCAAGACAGGAATCTTTTCGTAGGAACTATTTTTTATCATCTGATGATGCTTAAGATAGACCTTAGTCCGTCTTTGAATAGAAAATCTAGAGCATTAGACTGCTGCGGAGATGAGAATGTAAATTATTATATATACATATATGTGATGCTACATGTGCTTTTTGCGCTTTCTTATTGACATGATTATTTATGTAGGTTGAAACAGTAGCCCAGTTTGGTGTGGTATTTCTGCTCTTCGCTTTGGGTCTAGAGTTCTCCACTGCCAAGGTGAGATCAACCTCTTTACTTTTCTTAGTGCTGTATTCAAATTTTACATAACAAACTAGCACCTTTCCTCATCTATGTAGCTTAAAGTTGTTCGATCAGTTGCTGTTCTGGGAGGCCTTCTTCAAATTCTTCTATTCATGTTCTTGTGCGGAATCACAGTGTCGGTGCGTCATTTATTTTATTACTGACTCTGGAAAAAAATTATGATTTCATTTTTAGTTATTGACAACTGAATACTGCTGTGGCTTTGTTCTATGTGCGACATTTGGTTTATCTAGCAAATGCTTTTTTTGAAAGTTATACTCTGTGTGACATGTTTTGAATTGGTCCTGTTTGCAGTTATGTGGTGGTAAACATTCGGAGGGTGTATTTGTAGGAGCTTTTTTGTCAATGTCGTCAACTGCTGTGGTAATTTCACTGAACTCTATAATACTTATCTAAGTAGTCCATTAGCTGGCTTTCTTTTTACTATTGTTGGCTATATGCTCATCATGCGTTTCTGCCTTGAAACTATAGGTGCTGAAGTTTCTCATGGAAAAAAATTCAACTAATTCTCTTCATGGCCAAGTTACGATTGGAACGCTTATTCTTCAGGTATCTGATTGTTCTTTACATCAACATGTTATACGGGAGTCAAACACTGACCTTTTATTGTAGAATTCCTTTTCATATGATTTGGAAGTTTGATTATATAGCATCTGTTTCTAGGACTGTGCTGTGGGTTTGCTGTTTGCTTTGCTTCCAGTTCTTGGGGGAAATTCAGGCATTGTTCATGGAATGTTGTCAATGGGGAAAGTGTAAGTAAAGACTGGTAAAGTTTTTGCTCCCAAGGTGTATTTTAAAGATTTGATGTTAATCATGCCTACACTGTGTTTTATTTAGGGTGGTTGTGCTGCTTTCGTTTTTGGCTGTTTTGTCAATATTATCTCGGACATGTATTCCTTGGTTGCTGAAGCTAATGGTCAGCTTATCCTCAGAGGTACATGATTTTCCTCTCAATTTTTTTTCCCTATCTTCTGGTCCAATGAAATCAAGTTTGTGATTAACCTAGAATATTTCTTCATCAATCAGACAAATGAACTATATCAGTTAGCAGCTGTTGCGTTTTGTCTACTTGTTGCCTGGGTGAGTCCTACTTAGCCTTTTCTTCCTCATATTTTTCCTTGTCAGTATCCATCTTATGTTATGGTTGATCAGGATTCTCATTTGTCCGTTACTTCTCTTATCTGGTGTGTATCGTTATGTCAGCATATTGGTTTAACTGGCCTTTTATGATTTTTTTTTGTCTATAGTGATAAGGTGGGATTAAGTTTTTGTCAACATGTTTGTTTTGACTCGTCTTTTATGATTTCAGTGTAGTGATAAGCTGGGATTAAGTCTTGAATTGGGTTCTTTTGCCGCGGGGGTCATGATATCCACCACTGATCTCGCTGAACATACATTGGAGCAAGTACGTTTTTGACCACATGTTACCAAAAAGGCTTATTGTTTCTTTCTCCTCCCATAGCTGTTCTTAGTGTTCTCTGATGAAAGAGAAAAAGAGAGTCAGAGTTTGATCATAGTCTGGGTTCTTGTTGGGGGTGAATGTGATGGATAGGATATAATGAGTTGACGAACATCTAATCTTAAACCCTTAACCAGTCCACATAGTCTAACTGTGACACTATATTTTATGCAGATCGAACCCATCCGTAACCTGTTTGCTGCACTTTTCCTAGCAAGCATTGGGATGTTAGTTAATGTTCATTTTCTGTGGACTCATGTGGATATACTGCTAGCCTCTGTGATATTAGTAATTATCATTAAGACAACAATAGTTACAACCGTTGTCAAGGGATTTGGATACAACAACAAGACGGCTCTCCTGGTAAAACATTGTGTCTCATATTAACTATGATCTATCATGTTTGCTTTCATATACTCTGTGCCTTACCATCCCGAGTCAAATTGATGCAGGTTGGAATATCTCTGGCTCAGATAGGGGAGTTTGCCTTTGTACTACTTAGCCGTGCGTCCAATCTTCACCTCATCGAAGTAAGTAACACAACTTGCTCCTTTTTGGACAATATACATAGTAGGATTTAAAATCTTATAAGGTAGTTTTGAAGAAAGAAGCTTATAGTTATGGAAATTTTCAGGGGAAACTGTATTTGCTTCTCCTCGGGACAACCGCTCTAAGCCTGGTATGATCAGATAACTTTCTGTTGCCTCTTCTCCATATGTGTCCAAGTAAGTAGCTGAGTTGGTTTGGTTGATGGTTTTCGCAGGTTACGACACCGCTGGTTTTCAAAATGATTCCAGCGGTTGTGCATCTAGGGATATTGTTAAAGTGGTTTTCTCCAGACAGTACTATAGAGGTGAGTTGGTGTGTTTTTTGGTTGGTTCATTCTTAGTTTATATGATATCCATAACTAAATGAAAAGAGCTTATGGCATTGATCAGAAAGGAGAAATCGTAAGATCAGAAAGCGGTAAGCAACGGATGATTCTAATGTCACGCCAATCCCACAGCTCCTGAAAACCACAATGCTTCTTCTCAACTGAAGTTTGGTACACCAATTTTGACAAAAAAGAAAACAAAAGCAAGGAAGCTATATGTGGTCAAGAAGAAGAAAAACACTAACATTGTTTGTTGCCTTGGGAGTAACTAACCCACAATTCATTTGTCCATTGTAATTAGTATTGTTTCTTTTTCTCTTTCCTTTATGTAATCTTCCGTCACAAACAAGTTTGATTTTTTTTTTCTCTCTTGTAATCATATATACTAAAGCTTATACCACTATACTTTGTGCAACCAAAAATATATGAGAGAATAGAGCCAGCTCTTAATTAGTTTTTGAAGAGTGAAGACAAATGTTTTAGCCAGTTGGAAAACAAAACAGCACTCTTGTCTCCGGATTACAATTTTCAGCAACTCTTTTTTCAGCACTGGTTCATCTGAACAGGCACATGTATTGAAAGAGAGAACAGAAATTAGTATGTGGATTATTTTCCTTAAATAATTATTCAACCGAATGTACAGAGAACAAGAACAGCTACCACAAAATAAACCTTTAAAGACAACTTTAATGAATCAAAATATAAGAGATCTGTAGTCTCTCTCACTCTACCATATATCAATCCCTTCCCCATCCCCTTTTTCTTTACTATTCTTACTCCCTCTCTCTCTCTCTCTATATATATATATATAGATGATCAATATATCTGTCTATATCTACAGCTTAAATCATAACAGAGGAACAGCTCCAACTCCAACAATGGTGACTTTATGTGGTGTATGATTCACTTGTTGTATATATATAAATGTGTGTGGCAGAGGAGGTAGGGCTATAGAGCGAGTCTGGTCTTTATTGGCTTGAGTTTTAAGCCCATGTTTTCAGGGGAGAGAAGCTCGGGAGAAATTCGGGTTGGGCTCAAAGGACTTCTCGGACTTACGCTCTGTGTCGGACGATACAAGCCATATCCCATCAAAAAGTATTCCATTGGTATTACCATCGCCTGCGGTTGTTCTTCACTCACCAACGACCCACTTCCCTGCACCTGTTACATGTAATATGATTTAGGGTGGCCACACTAACCAAAACCAAACTGAAATTTTGTTTCAAATCAAACCGTTCAAAAGAGGCATATGTGTTAGTTAGCATTATGGTACCTCGACTAATGCACCATATCGTCTGTCTAGTTTTGTAGTCATGTGAACAGCCTCGGAGTGGTATGCAGAATTTTCACCAATGAATATTAGAGTTCTGCATTGCAATTTCCTTAACCCTTCACTAAGATCCACTCTCCTGTTCCACCCAAACCATAAACACAATATTTTATCAGCTTAAGACTATAGTCTGGAAATGAAATCGACAGAGAGAAAGTAGAGAATTACCCGTTGATTGCCTCAAGGAATCTCCATACATTTGTACTCTGCCGCTCACAAAGTAACTGGATAATTAAAAGATTAAACAACAACATGTAAATTTTAATTCAAAATGTCAAAGCATCGCAAAATTGCAAGAAAAGAGAAGAAAGATTTTACTAACTCTTCTGCATTCTTGAACAATATCTGATTCTGGAACTTGACCATTACCTCGAACTTCCTATGAGAACATATGTCAAAACTTTAACATTTATCTAATCCAAAAGTAAAAATAGTGTCTACTTCTTGAGAAACATATGAAAATTTACAAGAAACCTTTGAATCCAAAACCATACCTTGCTGAAGTACCGTTTTAGTAACAATTCTTTAACCACTCCACATGTGCCATAGTAGTATAGTAAATTGGACATAACCTGCATAATAAGTTAGGAGTATCTGATATGAGAATTAGATAATCAAGGCCATCATAACCTCAAGTCAGAAAGCAAAAAAAAAATCTTTGTAAGAAAAAACCTTATTGCACAACCATTCTGACCAAGAAGGTGCTTGGCACAGTGGAGAGACAAGTATTAAGCCCAGAACTCTCTGCCTGTACTTCATCTGGAAGAATTAAGTATCAAGCAAAATTAAAATTTTAACATCAAGTAGAATGATAAATGTAAGAGATGGACCTTTACTTACAGCAAATAAGGTCAGAACGTAAGCTCCAGCAGTGACACCCATACACATTACTGCACCAAGCCTGGATAAGAGACAATAAGCAATAAATAAGGGGGGAATTATATTAAACTAAAAGCAAAAAAATAGCCTCATGTGAGTCTCAAGAGAAAGACTTTGGTAACGAAGACCAGGTTAACAATATAGCAAGCATATAGGCAGTTTAAAAACAATCACAAATAAAACTTAAGTGTGAGATGGATTTGTTACCCGAAAAAATTAAGAACCTCAACAATCTGGTCGGCTAAGTCATCAGCTGAGAGCAAAGGAGCATCAACACTGATCATCGGAGCTCCCAACTGCAATGACTCTTGAAGAAAGCGATCTCATAAGGGATATGAATTGCATAGCCATTGGAATGTCACAGAGGATAAAATACCAGAAATATATAAAAGTTGTAAAAGATCCAGTTACCAACCTCATGGCCAAGAGGACTGATGTGATATATGCAAAAGTTGTGGAGTAACAAGGAACTAGCTTCAGGACAAAACAACAATCCTTGAAAACAGAACATATCTGTCAAGAGCAAACAAGCACCAAATCAGAAGAAGCATTTCATTTTCTAATCATATATCACTGAGCTACTCGAGCAATAGCGGGAAGAGTTAAAAAAGAATACTTACAATTTAAACCAATATCAGGATAAGTGATAAGAGCAGGTTTATCTGGATCTCCACAAACGGCAACACATACCGGGCCATAAGTAGTCTCCACATGGTGTTCCTACATCAACACAAATGTAGAATTTAAAGTCGGTAACTAAATCCTCTATGAAATAAATGAAAACAAAACAAAAGAGAGTAAATAACATGCATAGATTTAGAGGTCCACACACCTAGAAAAATTCATTCCCTTAAGTGAGAAATATAAAGTGATTAGAGAGAGAGAAAGAGGCCTAACTAACAAAAGAAAAGAAGCAAACTTTTTTTACCATAAAAATCAGAAATGGTCAAACAAAAAAAAGGATCATTGAAGTCTAACTATCAACAGTTGGAACCAAAAACCTCGTCATGGAATTTTAATTAATTGCAATGAGAAAGACGAATGTGAAATAAATATCCTTTAATCTTATCAAAGCAGAAGAAGATTTGGTTCAAATGTTAAAGTGTCGCTCAATAGAACCATGAATTGCGGAATACATTAGAAACCCAGAACATTACAATTATCTCAGCAACCTTTTTAAAAAAAAAATCAAACCTTAAGTAAGAAATCGAACGAAGCAGATAATGAACAAACACACATTACGTAATTTTTGGATTATATTACCGACACCAGCATCATTCCAAAATGTCAGCTTGAAACAATTTAAAAAAAATTAGCAAATTACCTGAATTAATAAAAAAAAACTACGCAGCATTGTTTCTAGTAAACAAACGATTCCCAGAAATTGCTATTGAAAATAAAACACTATTCATACTTGGAAAACAAAAGCAGAATCATCCATCATGAAGGAACAAAGCAGCTCGAAGAATGCAGAAACCAAAACCAAAATCAATAAGTTTTACCATTTCTCCTATCTTCTTCTTTCTTCTTCCCGTTATTATTTCTCACTACATTAAAAAAAAAAAAAAAAAAAAAAAAAAAGAAGAAGAAAAAAGCGTACCTGTCCTCCAAGAGACAATGCCTCCATATCAATGGAGACAGAATCGCTTGAATCCGCCATCTCCTTCTCTTTCTCTATCTCTCTCTCTCTGTATATTTATTCAAAAAATCAAAAAAAAAAAGCAGAGTATTATGTTTCCATGGCCTTCTTCTCTCTTCTTCTCTTCTCTCTCACAAAAACGATGGCTATCTTCGTTTTTTTCTGTTTATAAATAGATGGACTTCTTGTGTTTAAGACTTACAACAAAAATTAAAATTATAAATATTAAATATTAAATAAAAAAACCAGGTGAGAGAACTCGTTCTGAGTCACCGACGGTCGACTCGGTTTAATGTAGGACCTGTATTAACTATATATATATTATATATAATCACAGGGCTTAACTCTATACCCTGATCAATATCTTAACCTTAGTTAAAGGACCGACAGTTTCATTCTTTTCTAATCTTCTCATTCTCACCCCCCTTCTTTTCTTTTTTATCATTTTTATCCCCTTAACCTGTCGGCACCCTCAATTTCCCCACTGTTTTTTTCACCTTTTTTTGTTTCTACACAAAAGTTTCATAATTTTCCCAGATATTCATATGTTTGAAACAGTTATTTCAATTAATTTCCTGGCTAGAATGTGAATATATAAGTGTATTCATGATCGTTTGTATCATGAGGTACTTTAAATTCAATTTGGGATATAACACAGGGGGGGAGAGTGATATTATAAAATGTAGAGGGGCCATAATAAAGAAGGAAGAATCATCTGTTATTAAGAGAGAAAATAAAGTCCGCGAACTGTTGACTTTTTGACCGATTGGTTTGAGAGACGGGCCAAAGTGAATCCTTTGGGGCAGGATGGATCCTCAGCCGTCGGATTCTTTTTAACTCGTTTATTTTCTTTTTCTTGTCGTGTTATTATTTCCGATATATGGGTGAAGTGTTCTCCTCCCGTAATAAGGAAAAAAGAACAGCGTGTAGTTTTCAATAGGAAAAAACGGGGTCCAATGCGTGAGAGTGAGAACACACATGTCGTTTTCTTGTCGAGTTGGTATGTGTCATTGGCACCCAACAACAAGAGCCTTTAAGCAGTCAGTAGTAAAACCCCATATAAGTCCCTTTTGCTTCATTATTAATCCCTCCCCTCCTAAATAACCTTTTTCTTTATATCAATTTTTTTTCATTTTTATTTTATTCAATTTGCTCCATATCTGAACATCATTAATAAGTTGGTTGACCGTGACAAAATAATAAAAAAATTTAGAAACAAACAAAGAACATTTATATCACTTTGTAATAATAATCGGATCTGTTTTTAAAATCTAGAATTTCATCGTTTTCCAGCTTTTAATCATGTTAATTAACTTCGTTTGATCGCGAGTGCAAGTTGGTTAGCTCAGTAAATGAGAGGCTTCCAATACGATTATTTCCTACAGTGTTTATTCATTTTACGAATCTATCAAACATAAATATAGAAAGCGTAACACATTTACACATGTCAGTCTTATCTCTATAGTAAGATTTCAACTTTTTATATTCAATGGTAGTGTTAGGTTAAAGATCATTAAAAAAACTATCAACAGCTTTGAATTAACTTTGAACAAATTCCATGGAATATTCCTAAATCAGATTGAGCACTGTGTTGTTGTGCTAATATAACTACATTTGATAATAATCTGTGTGTTGTTCTCATTACATGCATGATTGATTGCAATGGGACAAGACAACTTACTTAGCCGCACACACTTAATCAAATTTTGTTTAAAGAAGAAGAAGAAAAAGGGAGGAGATGAATTCAAAAAGGATTAATGATGCTAGCTCACACAACTCACCGATCGAATAAAAATTCAAAATTGTACCTATAAATTTTGTTTTTGAGTGCTAATTTAACAAAGTAATGATTACATATATTAGTACCCATTCTTCTTTAGCTCTTATCACCAGCTTTTGTTTTTTATACTTTTATACTTTGTTTTTTTATATCCTATGTTTTTCATGGAAATAGTTTAATGATTAACCCACCAACCACGTTTCTTAATCTTTACATTTAGGATACCATTTTCCATATTTTTATATTTATATGCCTCTTGATTTTTCTCTCTTTGTTGAATATGCCTCTTGATTTTAGGAATATGTTTTCTAAAGTTTTGTTCCTTATCAATCACATAATAATGACTCCTATACAAGACTTTGCAATCATGTATTTCTCAGTACAATTTCACTTTTTATAGTAATGTATTGTTTTTCTTTTAAATATATTTATCAAATATAAATATATATTTTATAATAAAAAACCAACTGAACCTGGTCTTGCAGAAATAATGATATTTATTTTTCAAAAAAAAGTAATGAATTAATTATTTATTGAAAGGTACATCCATTCCATTATTAACAAGTATTCTAAATATATGATTTTTATTATTTTTATAGAACTCAAAAAATTGAACTAGCTTAGAACATTTTAAAACAGTACTAAAAGCTTTAAAAAAAATCTAAAAGAAACATATTAGTATGAGATTTTACTAGCTATCATTGAACTATTTTACTAAAAATATTATATGGAGTTAAGAAAATGGATCCATGATAAATAGAAATTGTTAATTTCTGAAAATTTTCGATCAAATAGATCTATTCTATAATATATTATACTAGACTTTTCCTTAAACATATGCCAGCAAAATATCATTGCGTATAATATAAGTCCGATCCGAAACCATTTATGATAGTCTCTCTCTATATACTAAATCAAGTGAGAAAGCAAAAGAGCATGCAGTGGTTGTTTGTTTGATCAAATACATATTACTACGTGATATCAGTTAATGTTTCCCTAATTTGCAGATCAAACGAGAAGGGCACGTGTGACGCCATTACTCTTTACAACTTTTAAAAGCTTACTTTACCATTTGGTGATCTTAATACAAAAATTAATAATTAGTGACTAAATAATTTTATTAAGTTGCTGTCTCCATCTCGCCACCATCACTCATCAATCTAAATCTTGAATCATCCCTTCTCTCATTATTTGGGAAACTATACACGAATCTTCGCCGACAATGTTTTATGTATGTAGTAGTCATACGTACACTATTTAGATACGTCCACACCATCCACACACACGCATAAAAGAAGAGGAAAAATCATACTACAATCAATCTAGTACTGTAATTTTTGTAAAAGATATTATATATCGATCAGAAAAAGGTATTTAAAAGTTACGTCGTATTAGCTTTGTTTCTTACATTATCTAATAGAGACGTTTCTTTGCTTTTAATCCAATTCATTATTACATCATGGCTATATTGGCTTATATGGAAGTTGTTGCACACATATATTGACTACGTGTCCATTTGTAGAAACTTCCATTACTTCAAGTCTAGAGAAAATGAAGTTTATATCTTTCCTACTCTTTGTTCGTATATATTGATCATCAAACCAATATCAAATTTTCGAACATTCCTCGGTTAGACTTTTCTTTATATCTTTTTCTTTAAGACGTGAACAAAAAGAGTTGTACAGTATATTTTGATGGTTTTTTTAATTAAAAACTGGTAACAGCTTCTCTTAATTCATACAAACTCATTAAAAACCACAAATCATTTCATATTTCAGTAGTTAGTAAAGTCTACGCAGAAGAGGCTTGTGGTTAAGGCTTTTCTAACACTTTTATGTGTCAAGTCTGCTTTTTCATGTGATAATGATTAGAAACATAACAACGCACACCCAAACATTAACACGAAACAAATAGATAATCACACGCAATATTACTCGTTTTTACCATTTATATTCTTTTCCGACAACGTAACTGCGTCATCTTCGAAAATCTAGATATATTACATTGTTGGGGTAATAGCCATAATAGCCATAATAATATTATTAGCTCACAAAAGATTACACGAAAGGCCCATTAACATTAACACTGACAGAGCAATGATGAAACAACAAGACCCATAAAGACATGATATGAACAGAAGCTTTTTTGTCATTTCTGTTGGTTTAAAGACGCTGCTGATCTTAGGACGACTCACGAGTTTACATTACGATATGAAGGTTCTAAAATAGTTACAAAAGTTAACATGTTATAATCATCTCTAGACAACAATTACTTCTGCAGCATTCTTCCATATGTGGGATAATAAAAAAGCCGATTTCACTAACTACAAGTGGTTTAGACTCATAGCTCCATGTCTGAAACCTCAACCTCAGTCCCGTTCACCAAACTATCCGAGAAGACAAAAGGTTGACACTTGGACTTCTCTTGAATGTTGCTATGTCTATGTTTGAAGAGCTTCATTTTCGTTTCTTCCTCCTTATTATGACTCTCTTCTTTACGCTTTCTTGTGTTTCTGCTGAGAATTGAGATCGATGACACAATGTGTCCATCAGCCATGTCTTCATCTTGATCAAACTCTTCTTGTTTTTTCTGCAATGTGGCTCCGAGACTGAGATCTGGTCTTGACATGTGAATCACAGTTTTGGCATACTTTTTGGAATGGTCACAGTCAAACACCTTTAGTCCTTGCTCTTCAACGGATACAAGCCATTCTGGAGATCAGGTGTAGTACAACAGGTTAGCCTAACATAAAGAACATAAGGAATAACAGCTCCAGAGAATAGACGAAAATGTTCTGTAGAACATAACAAATCACTCAGGAACATAGTCAACATAACATACCAATGAAGGATGCGGGAGTCAAGTTTCTCAGTGAATCTGCATCGCTAATCACTTCACCTTGACCGATTACCCAATTGACCAAGTGATACGGAATAAGTGAATTGGAGAACATGCTCATGTACTTGCTGGTTCTCTCTTGATCGCTATTTTTCCTGTGTGATAGTTTTGAGTATCAAACAGAATAATTAAGCAACTGAAGAAATGAATCCCATAGACCTTATAAGCAGTACCTTAGAGAAGCCATAGCCTTGTCAAAAAGAAATAACCACTTAATAGCGATGTTCTTCAAGTGTACACTTCTTTGTGAAGTTACATTTCCAGGGTTGAGGAATAGCTTCTCTGCTGATTTAATCACAGCCTTTGTTATGATTTCCATTAAAGTAGCTTCATCTTCTGGACCCTGAAAGATTAAAAGCTTCCCATGACAAAGTAACTTAATTCTATGTTACATACAGTGCGATCTTGTAAAGCAACTATACACATTCTTGGACATCCGACAGTGTACACAACTAGAAAGCACCACTAACGTATAACAAAAAATTGAAGCATGATAATGAGTTCAAACTTTAAAGGCAGCCAAGGAGATAAAACCATATACAGTTGATACATAGTTTAGTCAGAGAACCAACCAGTAGTGAGGTTAGATGCAGATATGGCTCCAGAAGCAACATCTTGATTATGACATCTGCAACGAGATCACATGAATAAAAACAAAACCAATCGAGATATCTGGAAACGTATAAAGAAGAAGACACTTTGTCGAAATTGATTCCATATTCAATGCCCAGTAAATCTTACGTTATCAAAAGTAGCTGAAGAAAAGGTAACACTCACCAAAAAAGTAGCAACTGTGGAACCCAGAAATCATCTGTAGCACAGATTCCTGCAGATCTTCTTCTAGTTCGGATCTGCTTAATTTCGAATCGAATCTCAAACACAAACTGAGCAAGAAGACCTGTGAAGCTACGATTCCAGCTAAGTAACCAACGGGACAGGACTCAGAATCAATCTCTTTACGCAATCTTTCACTAACAAATGGCATGAAGACCTCCAAGCAGCCATCCACTCTACAATTGTCTTCCACTTCATCCACAACCCAAACCCTACTCAACTCAGCAAAACTAAACCCAGAGACCATCAACACATCACCATCTTCACATCCTGGTTCATCAACACAGTACATGCTAATATAGCTCACAATCCCTTCTAACAAACTCAAAGCATCTCTCCTCCTAGTAACAACCAAACGACTCAGCTGGTAAACAAGAGGAGATAACAGAGCTACCTTCTTGACGCCGGGAAACGAATCGGAGAGAGAAACAAGCAGCTGGAAGAAGCTCGAAGTTAACCTAACGGAATCGTCCCGGAAAGCTAATCTGGAAGAGTAGAATCTGACGGCAGAATAGAACCATACGAGTTCGAGAGGTAGTGGTTCGGGAAGATCGTGAAGGATACGAGTGAAGATGGAGTCGAAATCGGAGAAATTGGTTCCCCCGCTTCGGTACTGCAACAAGAGCTGCTTGATCGAGTCACCGAGAAGTGGTTTCAGAAATTCGAGGTGACTCTGAGGCCTGGGTTTACAAATCGGAGCTTGCATTTTTCAGAATTTTCCCGGTGACGGAGAAGGGATTTTGAAATTTGAAAAGTTGGGAGAGAAATAGAGAAACCCTATATGTAATAATACTCTGATACGAAAAATATTCAAAGAAAAGGGGGAGAATAAAGAGAGGGAATCCTAAATGTTTAATGTGTTCATTACATTTTCAAATTGTGGTAATTTAAAATGATTTTTAATGTAATTATTAAAATTACAATAAAATAAGTATATGATATTTTTAGGTTTTGGTAAAAATTGCTTTATTAATGACAATGAAAGTACATGGTAATTGTTTTTGCAAATACATTAACAAGGTGAAAGAAATGATAAATGTCTCAAAATTATTCAATATAAATATAAAGTTCTTCTCCGTACCTGTATTTAGTAAATGGTTAGATAGAGAGAGTCGCCTGGTTATCTCAACTCCACGACGAGAGGAAAAAAAAAAAGAAAAACTCAAAGAGACAATCTCAATGGCGATGATTACGCGCAACACCGCCACGCGCCTCCCTCTCCTCCTCCAATCTCAACGCGCCGTCGCCGCCGCCTCGTCGGTCTCTCACCTACACACATCCCTTCCCGCTCTCTCTCCCTCCGCATCACCGACTTCCTACACCAGACCTGGTCCGCCTTCCACCTCCGCTCCTCCTCCTGGTCTCTCCAAGGCAGCCGAATTTGTGATCTCTAAGGTTGATGATCTCATGAACTTTGCTCGTACGGGATCGCTCTGGCCTATGACCTTTGGTCTCGCTTGCTGCGCCGTCGAAATGATGCATACCGGTGCTGCTCGTTACGATCTCGATCGATTCGGTATCATCTTCAGGCCTAGCCCTCGCCAGTCTGATTGTATGATTGTCGCCGGGACTCTTACCAACAAGATGGCTCCGGCTCTTCGCAAGTACGCCTCTCTCTCCCTCTTTCATGGAATTTAACGGCTGATTTATATCTTTGGATCTCGGATTTAGTTTTTGTCTTGGTTTTCGTGGGAAGATTTGTTCCTTATTCAGTTTTTGTTGTTCTGCTTGATATGCCTCTAAATTAGGTTTTTGGAGGATATAATTGGGGATTTCGATTAGGATTTTCACCTACCCTGCGATTCTAGGGTTCATGTTTTCTGATTATATTGCGAGGTCTGTGACAAATTGAGAATTGCTGTAGGAAGTATAGGTTTGACCTGGGAAGTCATGCAGTTTCCTATTCTTTGTCTAGAGCAGATATATTGTTGAAGTTTTTGGTTCGAATTCATGAACTTGCGAGTGTTCTAGCATTCAGGGATGAAGAGTAGGTTTTTGGAAGAGTTATATAATCTGTGCTTGTCTTTTGTGAGGAGATAGGGATTTTAGATGATCTAACTTGGTTGTAAGTAGGGGAACATGTTTTAGTGTCCTTTCAGCAACCATCATGCTTGGCCTTATCAAAGCTGGTCCTAATTAGAGATTGGAGATATCATTCTTATGATTTTTTCTTGTATCTAATTTGGTGCTCCTTCTCCTGGCTGAGTGGGATCTTGCATGATTACTTTACTTCGTTGTCTTTGAGTCCTGATGTCCATTTCTTTTGCAATGTGTTTTTTTTATGGAAATGGGTATCGAACGCACTTAAAGATTCCTATTTTATTTGTTTGAAGGAAGGCCCTTCTTTCAACTGTTGCAGAACATATCATAAATCTTGTATGTGTATGTTTTCTGGTAGACAGCTGAGCTTGTATGATGAAGTCTCTAGGCCCAGACACAATAGATAAAGTAATCACGGGTTCTCAAAACAATAACCATTAAGATGAGCAAAAATTATATGCATTTGAGAGATGATTGACAGCTTTATAAGTTGGTCTAGCTTAGTTCTTGTGCTAAATTATATATTAGTGAGAAACAAGTAATAGAGGTATGTTCAGAAATCAGTCTTGATCTGGTAGAATTAAGAGAAGTTGTGTATGCGGATGAACTCATTGTTCTGATCTTGTTTATTTTTATGTGAAATTCCAACTTCTAATGTCTGGATACAATGACAGGGTTTATGACCAGATGCCCGATCCAAGGTGGGTGATATCAATGGGAAGTTGTGCCAATGGAGGAGGATACTATCACTACTCCTACTCGGTGGTTCGAGGGTGTGACAGAATTGTCCCGGTCGACATTTATGTCCCTGGGTGCCCACCAACCGCTGAGGCTTTGCTCTATGGACTCCTCCAGCTTCAGAAGAAAATCAACAGACGCAAGGATTTCTTGCACTGGTGGACCAAGTGAGCTTTAAATCCTTCATCCAGTCATGAAAGGGGCCTTTTCAGACATTTTTACCAAAGTTTGGGGATAATAATAAATCGTGGACGTTTCTGGATTGCATGTTTCTTTGTGGTGGAGATGCCATGTAAAGGAGTGTGTTTCTAAGTTTGTTATGGAAACTTAATAAACTTAAGATGTTGTTGTCTGAGTTCTTTTGTTATATTATCAACCAGTTTTCAGCTAGATGCTGACTATTGCTAATTTTACATATGTTCTTTTTTAATATACATACGAGTGTGTGTGTGAGTATTCTAAAGCATATACAGTCGGCATCTGTTACTCTTAACATTCCATAATACATATTGTGAATGAAAAGTACTGGTTTAAATTCAAGCCAAAACTATAACTTTGCTAGTTCTAAACTAAAATTTACTTTGATCAAGCCAGAACCATTGCATTAGATCATTGATTAAGACAAATGGGTGAATGTGAATCATGGTGATGAGATGTTTCAAATCCAAAAAGCACTGGTCTTAGTTCGAGATCATACATTAAACTGAACAAAAAACCAGCAAGTCATCAAAACATACAAATAGACTTCCTTTAGAGAAATATAGGAAGACTGTCCTACAATCAAAAATCGATCTCCAATTCCTTCAACCTCAACTCTAATGGCAATGTCCTCCTTGCAAATGTAGGAAGACTTGATTTGCTGCGATGACCAGAAGAAGACAGTGCAGCCTGAGAGTCAGAGATCGATTCACGTACAGGATTGGTGAACCTTTGCTGCAGATTATAAAATACCAGAGTTTCTAAACGACGATGAACTTGGATAAGGATTTAATTTACACAGTAACTTCGCAGAATCTCTATGACCCGATCTATAGTAAGAGAAGAACCGACAAGTCTGCACCGCCTTCATCTCGTATATGAGAATTGTTCTTCTTCTTAAGATGACTACACAAAAGGTTTAGACTCTTCAGGCCATAATTTCTTTTTCCGGATGAAGAGTGTGCAGACCATAAATTATAATGGCTTTGACAGGCAAGAACACCATGAAGGCATGAACTATACCATCTAGTCGTCAAATTCACCAAATTCAGAAACAAATACAGTTCATGGTGCAAAAGTGCTGGAAAACAAAGTTCCATGTATAGAGAGATCTAGCTACTTTGTGTAGCTAAAAGACAGAGATAATCTTATCAGACAAGGATCAAAATTGGATAGAAAGTAAAATGTATTTTTTTCTCATCATTCAACGAAAACAACAACAAATCTGGCTAACTGAGATCATTCATACACTAATACCAAGACCGAGTTTAATCAACTTTGGCACCAATAAAACAAAGCTTTAAACTGGTTTAAGTAGATCTAGAAGCAACAATTACAGTCAAAGGGACATAAACGAGTACCACCAGAATTGGCCTTGTTGAAACCAATTTCATCTTCCTTGAAGATTTTGAGCCCGTCTATTTTCATCCTGGATTCGCTTCCCGGGTTGTCATCAAGCTCGGTCCTCGTCCTTGTCTGCCTCCTGGGTTCGCTTCCCGGGTTGTCATCAAGCTCGGTCCTCGTCCTTTTCTCACTCTTGGGTTCACTTGCAGGGTTGTTATTAAGCTCCATCCTGTTCCTCCTCCTCTTCTTCTTTGCAATATCTTCATTGGTCTCGGCCCTCTCGGGTGTTTGGACCTTAGGCTTCAACTTAATTCTCTCACCAAAGATGTCTTCAATCTCTTTCCCAAATTTAGCAGGTCTTGGAACTCGCTTGGCTGCTTGTTGCATCGCAGCTCCTTGTGATGGCTTCTTCAAGGAAGAGCTTCTGCTCTTCTTCTTCATAGGCATTTTGATTGCAATACACACCTTCAATAACACAAGTTTCGCAAAATGTAAGACGGTTAACAACTCTGTTCCAAAGAACCAATCTTTTACGAAACCCTGAGATAACTTGAGCTACATCACAATTCACAACACAAGGAATTTGAACTAACCGGAGAAACTAGAGTGTTTCTTCTTAATGTAACGATTGCATATCTTGATTTCGATTCCTAAGCAATTAAATTTCGATTCCCAAATTGAATAATCAGGATTTAGCTAAATTTTCTAGCAATAGACACGGAGAAACCATTAGGGTTTATGCAATATCTTTACCTTTGAGCGTAAAACTTACGATTAGAAAACGAAGCCACACGAAGAAGTTTAATCGAGTGAAATAGGAGCGGCGCGAGTCGAGTTCGTAACCCTTATATTTTAGGGATTTTATTCTAAGGTTTTTTTTTAACATCTATTTTATTTTAAGGTTTCCTATATTTAATTAATAAGGGTATAATAATCGTAGATTCCTAATTAATATTTCTAAGCTAAACCAAATTATAAAGGGAGAGCTATATTATGTTATGTGTTGCTGTTTAAGGTTTATTTAATTATTAAACTGTTTTAATATTTTATTACGTCTTTGAAAAAAAAAATATACTAATATTGAGATGCTGCTAACAAAATTTGAGACAACTCAAAGATAAGCAAACAAAACTTATTAAGAGGATTGAAGAGATCCACCATTACACAAATCCAATATCCAAATCGTCTCCTTAGGGGAGTGTAACTAAAAAAGCCCTCAAAGACATCATTGTTCAGAACAAGATGAATACTGCAGGTGTGCTAATGCTTTTTAAGAGCATTCGTCTTGTCCCTCAGGTAATAAAGCTTGGCTCTTCTTACTTTCTTCTTGTCCAACACCTTAATCTCCCTCAGATTTGGGGAATACCTGTCACCAAACACCCACACTCACTTCAGTATTTTTCAATGACCAAGGTAAATAGAAGAAACAAAAGACATGGTGGGTTTAGTTTATAAGAGTGGCTTTTTAATGGTCATACAAAGTCTGAGAGAGATATTTAAAAAAAGTACTTACAAGGGGAACATGGATTCAACTCCCACTCCAGCCACTAGCCTTCTAATCCTAAATGTTGAGTTAAGACCAGCATTACGCCTTGCTATGACGACACCTTTTACAACTGATACACGCCTCTTGTTCTCAGGCACTTCCTGTTCAAACAAAGTATGAGAAAAGTTTCACTTAGAAGATAAAAGAAGTTTTAATGCCCTTGCCCCAAGAAATAGGTAAAATACATTCTAGGCCAGCTTCAATAGAATTTACCACTTTTAGCTGCACTACGTAACCAGGCTTAATCTGCGGTATCTCCCTATGAGTTCTCACTTCCTCAATTGCCTCCTTGTCGACAATCTGCAGAAGATTGAAGATTGTGACATAGGTAAAAACATGACATGATTTAGCAAAGACAATTGTCGAATTTGAGTTGTACCTGCATTATATGCTTGGCGGTTTTATCAAGGCGCTTAAACTTGATTCTCTGAGGAACATCAGAAGCTAACTCAGGGGATACTTGAGAAGTAGTCTGAACTGAATCTCCAACGGTGGAAAAGCACCTCGATGAATACATCAAGTTTTGTTTCTGCCAACCATTTTCCAAGCAATATAAATTCAGAGAGTGTCAAACACTTAGAAGCCTAATCATCTAGATATCACTGCCACCCCAAAAAAAAAACATATAAGGCAGAACAACTTGTGAAAGCATAAAACTGAGCCAAAGCTGAAAATAAATAACAACAGCACGAAACTGGTTCCTCTATATCTCCATAACTCTAACTACCACACGAGAGAGGCGCAAGTAAAACAGCAAAGAGCTATTGTATATCTAGTGATTGCAATCCCCACATAAAGGCTTTGAGCTAAATTTGATATCAAAAGACGAAATGAGTGGAATCTGTGGCTAAGAGCCTAGTCATCACTATTCAGCAAGAGTAAAGCTTTCGTATTTTCACACAAGTTTGAAACCAATTTGACATAAGATCTCAATTAGCAACCAAACATCCTCTTTCATTTCTACAAAATCCAACACGACAGAATACGAAAGTGGCTTACAGGTACCACCGATGAGGAAAAAGCAGAAGTCTTCAAGGAGCTAATGTGATATGCTGCAGCTGAATCAAAATCCCTGGTAGAACGGAAAGATTCAAACCCAAGGCTCCTCCTCGATTCATTCTCAGCCCAGCTTCCAGAAGAAGAAGAAGAAGTGAAACGAAGCGTGTTGGATACAGAGAAACGGTGCCTCTGAAGCAACAATCTTGTAGTGCTACGAATTGATTGCATTTCTCCGCAAGAGTAATCGATCTATATACGTTGATTATATCCAAATCTGTTGATTTGGATTGGCGGAGCTTTGAGAGAGTGAACCAGCAAAACCCTCGTTAGCTCTTCCAGGGTTCTATTTCTTTTCTTTTTTTTTCCTCCTTTTCTTTATTGGTAATTTGTATATGAACCCCTGATGTTTTTTGCTTTCATTAAATAAACCCCTACATTTGTTGCCTACAACAAGTAAACCCTTCTCATTGAAATTGTTTTTCCTAGCATAATTGTTGCGTTATCTAAGATCTGCTGAGAGCAACTTAACAGAATGAGATAGTAGCAAAAAGATTAAAGTTTCAAATTATGTGTCAAGGATCCTTCTTATGCACTAATTTGATGGAGAGTATATAAGCAAAGAGGATCTTGTTCACTAATAGAAACCCTTTGGAGCATGAAAACACAACCTAGTTCTCTCCAAATAAGAAATACTTAGTTCTAGAGAAAAACTAAAACTTGACTTTAATCAAAACCAGAAACACTGAAACTAGAAAAACCGGCAAGTCATCAAACATACACCTGAACTTGCTTTAGATAATTACAGGACACTCTCCATAATCCAAGAAGACGCTCACAGAACTCAAGTTTTCTCCAAGCCCTTCAATCTCAACACTTCTGGCAATATCTTCCTCGCGATTGTAACTGATAATACGGAACTGGCCGTTGCAATAAGCGACAGGTGAGAATATGAACTCGCCGGAACTAACGACACCTCTGCAACAGAAGCTGTTTCGTCTGTTTCGTCCAGCTAAACCATTCCAAGAAGGAACCACGAGAGAGATCTTTGACCATCTTGCTTTGCCGACATCTTCCAAAACCCACATCTCAAATTCACCCTTTTTCGACTGATTCACTAAAGCCACATGCTTCCTCTGGTAGCTCACCAAATCAAAACCAGTAGTATGAATTTCGACACCAACGGGTAGCTTAACAGGAGTAAACTTTTCCAATCTGACATCAAAGGCCACAACTAAAGATTCCTCTTTATCAGTGTTGGGCCAAGCTCCGTAGTAAACAACACCGTTGCTGCATACCCCTTTGGTTACAGGACAATGCGGAAGCTCACATCTGATCTTTCTCCACGTAGCTTCTTTCTTTTTCGTCTGATCTCCATTCAAAGTGAAAACTTGATGATCTTCGCTCACAATCGGTCCACGAAATTGCAATTCCTGCAATACCGTCATGCACAAGACTTTGTACTCATCTCTAATCGGATCGTATCCGAAGAATCTATGTATTCCTCTTCTCCTAGTTCTGACTTTTGGTAAAACCAAGAACTGGCCCGTGCTAGGGTTCGAAATCACAACCTTCCGCCAATCTTGAACGCAGATCAAGCCGCGTACCGGTGGAGTAATGTCGTAAGTTCGTAAATAGACCCGCTCATCAGGACTCATAGGAATGCTTGATCTACGAGTTTGAGAAGCCTCCTGAGACCGAGATATCGAGTGGAAGAGCCGGATTCTGTCACCGGGAAACGTGAAGAGAAAACGCCGACGAGATAAAGATTGTTTCAGGTACGTATCGATGAAATATTTGCTGCGGATTGTAGAAGACCAGAGCTTCGAGACGACGGTGAACTTCACTAGGGTTTTACTCGGCAGCCTCGCAAGGATCTCTTCGATCAGATCATGAGTTAGAGAAGATGATAAGCCATCACCGTCTCCTTTCTCTGGATCGTTCTTGTTCTTGACCCTCTTCATGGCGAGTCTTTCCTTTCTCTATTTTTCTTTCTTTCTTCCCGGCCAGAAACAAATTTCTAAAACCGTTATATATAGACCAACGAACTTTATATTTGGTTTTGGATTAACAACTTAATTATAATAAATATCTCAGATTGTCAATGATTCATATACCCAATGGGCCTGAATCCTGATTAAAGGTGATATAAAAGACCTTATTTTTTCTGGTTTATTATTAGTTATACTAAACGTGACAGATTTTATTTTTCCTTATTATTGTTATTTCACTTTGGGATGGATATAACGATCACGACAACGAATGTTGGGTTCCTCTGTTCTTCATGAAAGTTGAGTGCTATACGTGGAGAAGAGAGCAGCATACTGATCAAGTAAGTGCTGGTCTTCTTCTGCCACAGGTAAACCCAATCTGTTTCTTATAGACTGCAATGTTGTTAGCTTCTGTTCCAAGCAAGTGAAGTGTCTTTGGAACCCTTTGTTTGCTTCGTCAAAATTTTGTTTGTCTACTGGACTAACATTTGACGAATTGAATCTCAATCTAATGGCCTCCTTCATTTCCTTGATATTCAAGGGACTGTGAATGCTTCTGGTCATGAATGCATATGGTCTTCCTTACTATAAATTTGAAACTTAGACATGAGTTCTTGTACATGTAAGCATCTAACGATAATGAGCTATTCGTATTGATAATTGACTTTACTAGTACAAGAAGTGGTTCACATATAGTCTTTGAGCTAGAAAACAGAAGAATGTGATGAATAATGAAAGAGAGAACCGAAGCAAAGTAGAACAACACAAAGATATAGACATAAGAGATCTTATCTTACATGTTAGCTATGATTCCCAACAATTCACTATCTTTATTATCACGATTATATATGTAACCCTTTAATCTTTAATATAACCCTTTAATCTTTATTTAGCTCCTTTATTCCAGCAGGTGATTCACTCTTTAGGCTTGTTCTCTAATACAGAGATCATTCCAATTCAAGATGAGAAAAAAAGAAAGTGGTTTCATTGTTGAGATCGAGCTTAAGAAGTAAGATCAGAAATCAGTAGACTGGGATATAGTTCCTGGGATCAAAGATGAACTTGTCATCAAACATAGAATACAAATAGACTTCCTTTTAGAGAAAAACAGGACACTCTACATGATCCAAGAAGACTACCACATAACGCGAGTTATCTTCAAGTCCTTTAATCTCAACTCTTGTGGCAATATCTTCCTTGCGATCGTAACTGACAATAAAGAACGGGCACAAAGTCGGATGGAATGGTGAGAATATGAATTTGCTGGAACTAATGGCTCCTCTGCAATAGAATAACAAGCTTGGTCCAAATACATCAATCCGAGAAGGCACCACAACTGAGATCTTTGACCAATCTTGTTTGTCGACATCTTCCAGAACCCACATATCAAATTTACCATTATATGAGTGATTGTGATTCACCAAAGCCACCTTCCCCTGGTAGTTCACCATATCACATTCACCACTACTTATTTCGACACAGTCAGGTAATTTAAATAGAGTAAACTCTTCCAATCTCACATCAAAGCCCACAACTAGAGAACCTCGTTTACTTCTTATATCACTGTTGGACCAAGCGCCGTAATAAATAACACCATTCGCCATACATACCCCATTGGTTGCAGGACAATGTGGAACCTTACATTCGATCATCCTCCACGTAGCTTCTTTCTTCTGAGCGCCTCCACCTAAAGTGAAAACTTGATGCTCCTCGCTCACAACCGGTTCATGTTTGCAAGAAACTTGCAACACCGTCATGCACAAGACTTTGTATTCATCTCTGATAGGATCGTATCCGAAGAAGCTTGATATATGTCTTCTCCTAGTTCTGACTTTTGGTAAAAACAAGAACTGGCCCGTGCTAGGATTCATAATCACCACCTTATTCAAATCTTGACAACAGATTAAGCCGCGCACCGGTGGAGATATATAGTAACCTTCTAACAAGAGCCGCTGATCAAGTCTGAGAGAGAAGCTTGTTGTCGTAGTAGTGCAAGAAGACGGTTTTGCCTCCTGAGAGGCTGAGAGGAAGAACCAGGTGCTGTCACGTTCGAATGAGAAGAGAAAACACGGACGAGTTAGAGATCGTTTCAGGTACAGATCGATGAAATGTTTGCTGCGGATTATAGAAGACCAGAGCTTCGAGACGACGATGAGCTTCGGTATGGATTTAGTCGGCAGTTTCACAAGAATCTCTGCGATCAGATCTTGAGGAAGATAAGGTGATGAGACATCATCGTTCTCCTTCTTAACCCTTTTCATGGCGATTCCTCTGTTTTTTTCTTTCTTCCCGGCTAGTAGTGATTTCTAAAACCGTTATATATACACCAACCAACGAACTTTCTGTTTTGGATTAACAATTTGATTGTCAAATGCCAATGAATGACATACAGCTTATGGAAATTGGGTGAGATAATATATACCCAATGGGCCTCGATGAAGGTGATGCGAGTGACCCATTATTATTTTTTTAGGTTAATTATTTTTAGGAATAAAACGTATTTAAAAATAGTACTCAGTAAAGAAACCAATCATGAGCCAAAACCAAACGGTGAATCATGTAGGATTTAGGTGCACCATACTACCATAGTAATAATTTGATTAGATGGTACTCTTTCATATGAGTAAAACAAAAACTTGCTTTAATCAAGCCAGAGTCACACCAAAAGAGACTGATACAAAAACCAGCAAGTCATCATCAAAAACATACAAAATAGACTTTAATTTGCTTTAATTAGAGAAAAATAGGACACTCTGCATAATCCAACAAGACAATCACAAAACCAAAGTTATCTCCAAGTCCTTCAATCTCAACTCTTGTGGCTATGTCTTCCTTGCTGACGATAAAGAAGGGGCGCACAGTCGGATAGATTGGTGAGAATATGAACTCGTCAGAACTGATAGCACCTCTGCAGTGAAAAAACTCTGGTCCAGATAAACCATCCCAAAAAGGAACCACAACTGAGATCTTAGACCATTCTGGTTTGTCGACATCTTCCAAAACCCACATATTCAACTTATTATGATATGATTGATTTTGATTAACTAAAGCCACCTTCCCCTGGCAGCTCACCAATCCAGAACCACTATCATTAATTTTGACACCAAGGGGTAACTTAACAAGAGTGAACTCTTCCAATCTCACATCAAAGGCCACAATTACAGATCCGTATTTATCACTGTTGGACCAAGCTCCGTAATAAACAACACCGTTCTTCGGACACACCCCTTCGGTTGCAGGACAATGTGGAACCTTACATTCGATCATTCTCCACGTAGCTTCTTTCTTCTTCCCTACACCTAATGTGAAAACTTGATGCTCCTCGCTCACAACCGGTTCATCTTCGTCAGAAACTTGCAACACCGTCATGCACAAGACTTTGTATTCATCTCTTATCGAATCGTATCCGAAGAATCTTGATATTTGTGTCCTCCTAGTTCTAACTTGTGGTAAAACCAAGACTTGGCCCGTGCTAGGATTCAAAACCACCACCTTATCCAAATCTTGACAGCAGATAAATCCGTGTACCGGTTGAGAAACGTTGAAACTTAGTGAAGAGATCCGCGTTTCAATAAGACTCAGAGGAAAGCTTGATAGTCTACAAGTGTAACAACACGGTGCTGCTGCCTCCTGAGTGGCTGAGTGATAGAACTGGACGTCGTCACGGTTGAATAAGAAGAGAAAACAAGGACGAGTAAGAGATCGTTTCATGTACAGATCGATGAACTTCTTGCTGCGGACTATAGAAGACCAGAGCTTCGAGACGACGATGAGCTTCGGTATGGATTTAGTCGGCAACTTCAAAAGAATCTCTTCGACCAGTTCTTTAGATAGATAAGATGATGAGCCATCATCATCGTCTCGTTTCTGTAGATCGTTCTCCTTCTTGACCCTGTTCATGGCGATTCCTCTGCTTTTTCTTTCTTCTCGGCTTAGTACCGATTTCTAAAACCGTTATTATATACCAACGAACTTTTTATTTTGTTTTGGATTAACAATTTGGTTGTCAAATGAATGATATATAACATATGCGCTAATTGGGTGAGAATGAGATAATATAACCTAATGGGCCTCAATGATATAAGTTATGGTGATTGGGTGAGGTAATATTCCCAAATGGGCCTCAATGAAGGTGATACGATAGACCAATTTTATTTCCGGATTTATTTCTAAGAATAAAACTAAATTACTAGTACGGTGTAATTAATCATGAGAACATATAGAATTGTTGCACTTAATTTTTTTTTAATAATTGCGAATTTGCGATGATTTGGATCAAATAAGTTGAAATCCACGGAGCCAAGTTTACAGAATTTGGGTGGAGGTAGATTGATCATGATGATGACTGAATCGGATAAAACACTTTTCAAGGATTTGTTAAACTACGAGAAATCCAACATAGTGTTACACAAAAATCACATTCACATAATATCACAAACACGTAATCTTGTTACACATGTTCCAATACTAATCAAACATTTGATTATTATTCAACGTCTCAAACAATAAAGCTATCAGCTTCTAACTTTGCGCCACAAAAGTCATTAAGTTTCTCTATCATCAAATAAATTCCAAACTCTTTTATAAATGTTGACCAAAATTGGCGTCCATTAAGAAAACTTCCTCCTTGATAATGAAAGCACAAGAGCTTCTTGTTGTCGGTTATTTTTGTCATTCGTCAATTGAATTCACACGCAAACGTGCAATCTTTTTTCAAATCAGACCACAATTTTCCAAAACAACGTCAAGGTCAAGGTCGTTTACACAGGAAAACGAGTACTTCTCCTAATGCTTTAAGAGAACAGGGGACATGGGACACTTGTACGCTAATTTCATTTGAAAACTCTTTATACAATGCACAATCTTTTAACCCCACTACTTCAAAGTTCTATACCAAGAAGAACCACAAATGTGATTGGTTAAGCGAAATTGAACCGCGCACTGGTTGGGCAATTTTTTTAATGTAATTGCAGCTTCATTGATTAAAAAGCATGTATTGACAAATACTGGTTTCGATTTCAAAATGTCAGGTTCCGTGTGTTGTTTACTCTTTCACCATTTGTTGCGAGCTTTGTTTAGAATCAGTTCCATTTCCACCAGAATACAATTTTTGATTCTCAATTAGATCATAAAAGTTAGCTTTTGAGTTACAGCATTTTACTTGGGTTTTGGAATGATTCGATTTGTAACGCGTTGGAATATATTCCGATTTATAAAATTCTCAACTACTCTGTGTAAGCATATTCTCATATTAATCTGTGAAACACGAGAAGAGAGAGAGAGAGAGAGAGAGATTTAAGAAGGGAAATCCATAAATATATAAATAAATAGAATAGATTCAATATATCATATCAAAAAGGGCCATAATCCCACAACTCTAAAACCACCACAATACCCAGAGATAATATCATCCTCAATACATATATGAAGATTATAATATAGAAGAAGAAGATAGAAAAGAGAGCCAAGTAAGAAATGAGATCTATAGGCTTCGGAATACACACGAGAGACGAATAATGATGAATGGCCTATACTCCCCAAGATATATTAATAATAATCATAAACTGCAAAAACAATCTCTGTACGAAACCACCATCACAGTAAAGCTTAGATCCGAAGAGCAGAGCCGAAGACAAGAGCCGCCACTGCTGCTACTCCAGCTGAGACGAACGAAGCTGAGATCGCGCTAGATCCGGAAGTAGGACTTGGTGCTGGGGCTTCAGACTGAGCCGTAGCCACGACGGAGATGATGACCAACACGAGAGCAACGATTGAAGCCTTGGAGAACGCCATTTCAAAAGAGTTTTAAAGTTGAGAGTGAGAAAGAGAGAGATGTGTGTGTATGTGAATGAAGAAGAGAGAGGAGGCTAGGGTTCTTTGAATATTTGGTTTTCTAAAATGAAATGTGGTGACGAGTTTATAAAGAGGTGGAGCTGCCCGGTTTAGTTGGTTTAGCTGCCCTGATTTTTCCAGCTGGAGTATGAATAATCGACGGTTGATATTGCTCCCACGCAATCACTGAGATTTCGACAGGTCATCTTTCTTCCGTTACGGCGCCGTTCGCGAGGATATTTTTGTCTCGAACGCTCACACTTGGCGCGTGCATCTAACTTTCTGGACTAAAAAAGACGCAACGGTCTTGGTAGAGGTTTTTGTTTGTTAGTCACGGCGCGTGGAGAATGTTTGATGAGCTGTCAATTTTTTTTTAACAGTGACGGAAAAACGCGGTTCCGTGAAGGAAACGGCCAAGATGCGCAGACTTGTATTTGTATTTGTATTTGTATTTGGTTGGGAGTAAAGAAGGGACCATTTTATTTGGTGAGCACATGGGGTTCGTGTAACGGCTAATGTTTTTCCTTTATAGAAAAGAGCTTCTTTAAAAAACAAATAACGTCGACAGAAGAGGTAATAAAAATTGTTTTTTCTTTGGTTTCTCGAAGCAATGTTTGATTAATGTACTTTAAACTGGTATTGGTGAACTGTGTGTTTTTTTTTGTTTGGTAAACAAACGAAGAACAATGTGCTAATCTTTCTTTTTCCTTATCATGGAAGATTAATGCGATATTGAAAAGAGTAGACAAATATATAATTAATAACTATATTATAATGTTTTCTAATAGTATTATGAGAATTTGTCAAAATTGTCTTGTTTTTCAATAGTTATTAATAGCATCTAGACCATATAGATTTGTTTTTTATATAATTTTGAGAATAATGTGAGCCAACTTAGTTGAATGGGTGGACATCACATTTCTTAGAAAAAGTCAGTTTGAAGAAAATATTTGAAATTATTTTTGTTCAGAACTAAAAAAAAAAGTTGAAAATATTTTCATTATAAGTTTTTATATACAATAAAAAATTGGTGGAATGTGTGTGGAATTTCTTTTTATCTCAGAGAATATATTCCAATAAGATGATATAGAATTGAATTTTGAGACCTTCTTTTTCCATAAATGAAACCTTTTCACATACTTTATTAAACTTTGCAATTGTTTAAAGAGAAAGAGAAAAAAAGACAGATGGTAGACGTTGGCAGGCTCTTGAGGGTTTCGAGAACCTTCGATTAGGTGTAAAAGTGTGTTCTCCACCTGGCTCTGGTTTGTTCCCATTGTCATTTAGTTATCTAGTCTACTGGTTTCACATTCTAAGCAATATCTTGGTCGGTAAGCAATTTTTCTTTCTTTCTTTCTTTCTTTTTAGTTTGTAGGTCGGTAAGCAATTTACCAAGACTAAGATTACTCTATATACATATCCATGTTAAGAAAGGTTTGTTCGTTTTTCTAACCTGATTCAAAATGAGTTAGAGACGATAACATTAGAAAAAACATTAGACAAACAAATCTGATTCAATGACACTTGCGTATATATAATAAACCTGTCCTATTTCGTGCATCGGACAACTAATGTTCCAAGACTATCCGGAAGAAAAAATGATCTATGCATAGCATAGTAGTAATTCTTTAAAAATATAAAGTTACATATGACTTGGCTCCTGTTGTGGTTGAGCAACCTAGAGTTCTCTCTACTAATACCTCATTTCTTCCCAACTTACATCACAACAAACAAAATAAAATAATATCGGCGTATAATCTCCCATAGAATCCATTATCTCACCCATTCCGTGTTCTCTATTTGATGTCTAAGAGGTTCAGAGACATTACTAAACTACTCAAAATCCAAGAATCTTCGGAGAAATGCTAAGCAAAGGCTCCAGAGCACTCGGAGCAAACTTCCTCGCAAAAAGATAGCACATGGAAGTGTTGCGCCCATTGTAAGTGCAGTTTCTTCCATCAAAGATCTTTACAAAGAAATTCTCTGTAACGTCAGATCGCCCAAACGTGGCAGGGTGGGGCCCTCCCCTCGACCAGTCCACCCATGTCAAGCTCCGGTTAGCCAAGACCTCTGGTTTCTCAATTGTCAGCATTGTCGGGAAGTAATGCTCGTCCACATAGCAAGCGGGTCTGCAAAACTCTTTGAATTTCGGGTAATACAATGTGTCTTTGACAATGGTAGCTGCTAGGTCCCTGTTAATCTCAAACCATTGAGACCCTTTTCGCCATTTGGTAATGGGGACTTCTGGTTCCATGTTCGAGTTATAGCGGCCGCGCCCATACGGTCCAGGGTCATCAAAAGCACCCATGAAGCTGTGTTTTGATCGGCTTAAGTAGCTGTAGATGGTTGTGAAGTTGTAGAGTGGAATGCATGACTCTGAGACTAGAATAAACCATTCGTTGGAGATATCAAGCAGCGCATTGGCGAGAAGCCGCTTCTCTGCATCACACATGGACATTCTCCCCCATTCTGCAACCTGCACAATGATACAACAATAAAATCAGATACATAACCAATTAGATTCAAAGCAATCTGAAGAACTGCTTGAACAAAAGGCTACTAAAGAAACCACCAATTTGATTCTAGAGTTATATTTTCTGATAGTTTATGTGATTGGTAATCCAACTAATCACTTAATCAACAATAATACTTCAAGAGCGATGACTACATGGCATCCAAAAAGGCTGTATGGAGTAAATACGCAATGCCAAAGAGGCTTCTATAGAAACCAAGTTTGGTCCAGGAGCTCCAGTTTCTCATACCATATGAAACTGGTATCCATGTAAACAGAAGAGAAATAAAAGAACCAGACCTGGCTGGGTATCTGCCTCCGGTGGAAAACAGAGTTAGCTGGAAACTTGGCTGTAAAAGATGGGTGTGGATGAAGGTAAACCGAGTAAAGCCCATTGTGACCCTTGAAAAACCTCTCCCAAAGCAAAGCAAGCGGCAAGGGGCCTTTAGTCAAGAACATAAACGCAATCTTTGGAACCCTTTTAAAGGGATATTCTTTTCTCCGAGGCCAAAAAGAAGCGCGCCAAAGGAGCTCTTCGTCGCTCATATTATGCATCAGAACAGCAGGAGGTAGTATCCATTGACTAAAACCACTGGGTTCATCCTCACGGCATGGCACAAAGCTCGAAGTCACTGTGGTCACTACACTTTGTATTCCAGTATACTTGATAGTAGATACACTAATGATGAAGACAGTAATAGCAAAAGCAAGAAAAAAGCCTAGCAGAAGAAGCAGCTTCGAAGGAAATGCCTTGTACTGCCCTGTTCTAACCGTGATTCCAGTTTCTTTCCCTTCTTCCAACTGTACAACCCTAGTCTGCATCTCTATAGTTTCTAAAACAACAGGTATTTGCAGATTCTGATTCTGCTTCTAACTTGAATCTGAATCAACTAAGCCTACACACGTGAATAAAACTGTGGCAAAATCAAAAGTCAACAATTGCTCGCTCGTAAGATCCTAAAACTAAGAACTCCAGATCTCCTCCGCTAATCACGAGACCTTTACCAGCAGGACAGAATCAGAAAAATCGGCAAAATTTCCAAATACAAATCCACGAAATCGAAAGCCGCAGCATACGGAATCGATAGTATCTAGTTGATCCAGTCACTAATTCCTTCACCGGACAAGCTAATTAAAGAAACTAGGATCTAGAGCCGAGCTAATTTAGGAAACTTACTCCATTGCAAGTCTGCACAGATACAGGAAACGAATCTTCACGAAAAGAGGCAAAAAAAAACAAAAGAAAAAGCAGGGGAACAATCCACGTGTCGAGCTTACAGGGAAAAAGTAAGAATCAATAATGCGAAGATGACGGAGAAGCACTGAGAAGAAGTTACGAATCCGTGAGGGAGAGAGAGAGAGATAATGGATGGAGAGGAGAAGACGGTATTGATTGAGAAAAGTAATGTGAGGAAGACGCCGAAACTGTTTTTGCGTACTAGACAAGACCGCTGTTGTACCGTCGACTCTTTTTTGTGTGTGTGTGTGTATATTAGAATGGGACCATAACATTCATTTTTTTTCTTCTTCTGGTTTGGTAATTAATTTTAAACGCGTTTAAGGATATTTATCAACCAATAAGGATAATTTCGAATTGTAATTTGTAAGTTTATTATGTTAATTAATTATTTTGAAATTTGAGTTAACGAGGTCAATGACAATTAGTGAGAATTCAGAAAAATTGTGGGCACAAACATGGCGGTATATTAGCAAAAGGAAAAAAGTGGTCAAAGTGGCACAAATATGCTCCTCTCTTTTGACAAAAAAAAATAAAAAATAAAAAATAAAAAAATATGCTCCTCTCTTTTTTTTTTTTTTTTTTTTTCCGGCAAACCCCACATGGCAACATGTGCAGATGGTTCAAAAATTTTGAAGACTGCAATTTGGTTGATTTATAATGAACAGAAAATACTAACGAAGTGAAAAGGAGAAGGGAAAAATACAATATTTATGATACACGAATTTTGAACCTGGTATGTATCCTTCTGTACAATAATACAAAGTAATTGGATCGCATGACATTATTCTTAAATCTTTATATATCACTCTTCTTTACACCCTTTATTCATTAAGCATCCAGAGTTTATATCATCAATATTTGGGTTTAGTACTTGTTCAAGTCAATTTCAATCTCATCTCGAACTTCTTCCCAACAAGCAACGACAGCTTTGAAACCTCCACACTGAGAAACCTCGGATCATCATCGTCCATAACCGTTTTGATTAGCGAGATTCTCGGACTTCTCAATCTCTCACCTGTCCTCACCTCGTACGTTTTCACGCTCTCTACGTTCTCGAACCCAACAAATGTCACTTTCCCTATGCTCCATTTCATTCTCGAAGCGTACTCTGGGTTCACCACTTCTGATCTCAGTACCACCGATTTCCCTGTTACGTAGCACCGGAACTTCACGAGAGTCCAATCACGGTTTCCTCCTCCCTCTCCCATCTGTATCTTTTCCCCGTCATCCAGAAACAGTTCGCCGGATATGTTCTCAAGCCGGCTGGCTACAACTAGAAGCTCATACGGTGTCTTTCTGGCGTCTCTAGTTGTCATTGCCTCTCCTTGCATAGCCACAATACTACCTATTTACAAGTTAAACCAAAATCTGTTCAAGCTCAACTCCAGTTTCATTTCAGAAGTAGCTATCAAAGAACATACTATTTAATTACCTTCTCGAACATGAACGTTCACGTGATCTGCGGGAGTGTCAAGCCTAACGTGCTTGCCAGAAGCTCCACCGACGGCAAATGAATAGTTAAAAAGATCAAACCAGTTTCCGGCAGGGAAATATGCATCTACCGTCAGCTTTCCTTGCTCCAGCGCCGGAGAAACCATTATGCTTTTACCGATCAAGAACTGTGAATCAATTTCGTAAGTGTTAGTGTCTTGAGGGAACGAGAAGAAGAGTGGTCTCACGATCGGGATGCCGCTAACGTGAGCCTCATACATCAGTGTATAGAGATGTGGGAGCAGTCTCATACGGAGGCCGAGAACCTTTCTTGCAGAAGAAGCAACAGACTCCCAGAGGTATAATTCTTGTCTGGCGGTATTAAGGGACGAATGGTCTCTTGCAAAAGGGTAAAAAGCTCCAAGCTGATAATCTAAGAGCAAACGTTAGATTACGAACTCAGGAAAAAGTCTACAGGTTGTGTCTGAGAAATAATCACTCTACCTGGATCCATCGACGACATAGTTCCTCGGTGGTATCATGTGAGAAACCACATATATCAGCTCCAACCATAGGAATCCCAAACAGACCAAAGTTGAGAATTCCAGGGATTGAGTAAGCCAAATCCTCCCATTTTGCAGCATTATCACCAGTCCAGTGAGCCGTGTACTTTCCGGAGCTTACAAACGTGGATCTCGACAAAACAAATGGTCTCTTTCCCATTACATCCACTATAGCCTGGTGAGTGGCTTTAGCTTCCAACAGGCCATACAAGTTATGCGCATTGTATTCACTAACGTTTCCAAAATGGATAGCTGTTGCGGGAACTGTCTTGTTGTTTATTGGCGCGTTGTCCCCAAAATTGTTAATCTTGTAAGGAGGATCATCGAGTGAAGATCCAGGGGTTAGAGGTGAAGTTATGAAATTTGATAACTCATTCATGTCAATCCACAGACCATCCAAAGGGAGAATGTCCTGGAAAATCTTGATTTCATTGCTCCAGAAAGTTGCAGCAGCTGGATTCAAGAAGTCAGGGAAGTATACTTTTCCGGGCCAAACCTCACCGAGATAAGGCTCACCATCTCGCTTTATGAAAACATCTGCTTCCATCCCTCTATTATAAGTCCCGTAAGATCTGTTCACACCAATACCTACACGTAAACCCAATATTTTCATCTTGTAAAATCAATTTGTTAAAGACTCTACAGACAAGAGATAGTATATGGTTGTTACCGGGATCCAAGATCAGCACGTATTTCTGACCACTCTTATGAAGTGTATCCACAAATGATTTCATCTTGTCCTCTGGGAAATTTACGGGGTCCAAAGTGAAGTCTTTGTAGCCGTCCATGTAATCAATGTCTGTCCACATAACCTCAAGAGGTATTCTAGCTTTTGCATATCCATCAACTACAGATTCGAGGTCTGAAACATTCTTGTAGCCATACCTACATTGGTGAAATCCTTCACAAAATCAAAGCAAAACGCACATCTCAATCCACACAAACAAGTATATTATCTGATAATGCTATGGACTAACTTTTAAGCAAACAAAATGCAACAGCACAATGTCTCTTACCAAATGACCAGTAAGGCATAGGAGCAGGTCTTCCAATAAGCTCTGTGTACTGATTCATCACCATTTCAGGTGATGGTCCAGCGAACACATAGAGATCAATGACTCCTCCGATCACACTGTAAGTAATCCGATGTCCTTCATACTTCACATCCATTCCATTGCTGTTCAGCAACAAAACGCCGTGAGTCGTCCCTGCTTCGTCATGACCGTTTGATCCTCTTACATCCATGTAAAACGGGTGCGATCCGTAAAGGTTAACATCCGGATTCTCGCTACCGATGTCGGCGTTCCACATAGTCATAGTATCACCCGGGATTAGCCTGAACGATCGCTTGGTTTGCTCCCCGAGACCATACAGATTCGATCTGTTTTCCGGTAACGCGGAAGATAGTTGAAGGAATTGGTCTTTGAAGATGAAGTAAGTGCTCGGATCTGATTGATCCGGCGAAGTGTCGAAGAGGATATCGCCGGAGGAGCGTCGGGTGACGGAGAAACCGAAAGGCGTGGTGTTGTGGAGTGTGAAAACTAAGTCCGATGATGGATCTGTTAAGAAATTGCTGTCCGGCGAGTTTCCTCCGTCTACTTCCTCCGTTACGAAACGGCGAGGAGAGTGGTTTCCGGCGCGAGGAATAACATTTTCCGGTATCTCCCATCTTTGTTGACTAAAATCTGTGATTCTGATTCTCAAACGCTCACTCGTCTCCAAGCTGCACATATAATATATACCAAACAATCATAAAACTTTCCTTAATTATCGCACATTTAAAATAACTTTAAAAAACTTGCCAAATTAGATATATTGCTAAGAGTGAGAGAAGAACGGAGAAGATTATAAGGACCTGGCATGAAGACTAAGCGATTTCACATCCGGTGCGTAAACGGACGACGGTTTGATCAGGTCAAGATTCGCCGTCAAAAGCTTCTCATTGGAATCAACAGCCACTGATCTAACGACGTAGCCGTATCCTACTACTGTGGTTTCTTCTTCTAGTACAACCTGTGAGCTTCCATGTAAGGGTGAAGCTAAACTCGTGGAGCAGAAGACGACAACGACGAAGACGATATTGGTAAACCAGTGAAGAGATGACATTTTTTATTTTTGTGTTGGACTAGTTTTTTTTCTTTCTTTCTGTTCCAATTTAATCATTTTCTTTGTAAATAAGATTAACCTATATTTTAAGTCATTCGTGACAAGTTAACTAAATAGTGTAATAAGATTAGTCTTAAACATAATCATTAAGATATGAACTTACGTCAATGTGTACGCAGTTTCTGAATAAAATCAGAAAACATAATTAAGAAGAACGTTGGAGTCTCTTTGGATTAAGAATCACACACGATAGCAAAAATCTTTGAAGAGTCGGACGAGATACTCAGATACATTTATTTTGTATGAACAAAACAAAACTTAAACCCAATAATAATACTCTCTTATCAAAAACCATAGACAATTCTTATCTCTTCTTATCTCTCATTTAAACCCAAAGTAAATGCCACAACAACAATGGCACATCAGCCACCGACCAGATCGTCTCATGAATGAAGTGCAAGAACAACAAGCCAATTAAAAAAAAATATTACTTAGATTTCCAGTATTGAATGTAGACTCAAACCTGATATGCCTTTTCCGTCTCAATACGAATATCCCGGACAAATTCACTACTTAAAGCCTCCAGATTGGTAGTTTTGGTTACTGAGGCTGGAGAAGAAATCATCTGAGATATCATGTGCTTGTTGTTGCTGCTGCTGCTGTGTACTGTATAGACCAGTTTTACCGAGCCCTGATCCTGCACCCATGGACCAGCCTGAGTAGTACGAAGCAGCAGATGCTTTGTTACCTTCATCATTGCTCAGACCACCCACCACGCCCACATCAGCTAGAGAAGCTTTTTTGGCTGATTACAAGGAAAACCAAATAGTCAGGACTGAGATCGCACTTAGAAAGTTAAACCCGACCATTTATTTGTCTTGACACAATGCAAAGTCAAGGTACATGGTATTGAAATTCTATATGACCGAAGAAGTTTGAGTGGTTTAATCAACTATTTGACAATTCGTTGGAATGTAATTGACCAACTATACCTGTTCAGTTTTATCTGCATCTAATGAGAAAAATACAATTTTCTTAATAGTTCACTACCACATACTAGTGCATGGCACATGATAGAGTTCTGGATGAAGGGGGAAGTTTTGACTTACGAGCAGTTAGATTGAGATCAATCAGTCCACGGCTCAGAGAATTTGCCCAAA